TATTTATAAGGTCTTGGCAGGTAGCATGGTAGATTTAAAACTTGATACATGCATTGAAGTATTTATAAAAAAATCTGTGGACTTTCTTTTCATCCTTGGGGAAAGAAGATGGGAGAAATAATAGGACCATTCTGTTTCTAGTGCTTCCACCATTCAGATTTGAGCATTGTCTGGTTTTCCCTCTTATGAAATAGCTGACCTTAGACCCTAATGGGCTTTTAAGATTTTCAATGTCAAAATAATTTTGTTACTAGAATTTGAATGTCTTGTGCTTCTAAGCTTGCAATGAAATAGCAAAATCTTCTCTGAAGTGTAAGCAGTGCTAATTATGATGCCTGTCTCATTGAGTTCTAATCTTTGATTCTGGGTTTTCTTAAAAATTTATAATAGATGTCAAAGTAATTTTCATGTCTTTATCAATAGCACATATTAGGAGTTCTCTCTGAGATCTGCATCATCATACAGTTTAAGGCTTCTGTTTATACCTGCCAGCTGTGCAGTTACTGTATGGGAATTAACTTTCATTAAAGCAAAAGAAACGCTGAGGGACTCATTAGATGAACTGCAAAATTAATTACTGGGAAAGAGATGTAAGCAAAGCTGCAGTAAACGACTGTGAAGATCAGGGTGTGGTTATGTGGGTGCAAGCAGTGGCTGCAGTACTGTGGAATATTGGTTTGGAGAAGGAAAAACTTGGGATATGGAGTCAGTGACCACCTGTCTGACCACGTGCTCATGGCCAGAACTGGTTGGCCTTAAAAGGGCCTCAAAATTCTGCCACTTCTAAAGTCTGATCCATGCAAAACTGATAAAGAGCCTGCACAGCTCCTCCCTGTGATACTTGGGTTGTCTTTTCCTAATTTTCTAATACAAAGAAATCTTTGAAACAAACCTCTGTAGGAGATGGAAGGACTGGATGGTATTGCTCTAGAGTAATAGTAGCTTACACTGAAGGAAAAGTTAACGCTGTTAAACATAGAGGTGTAATGGCTCCACCCTGCCTGTAGTAGCTGCAAAGTCAGCTCTAATTTCCTGATTAAGCAGAAGAGAAATTAATGAGCTGAGACTAAGTGGGACTTAAAAGCTCCCTATCTAGTGCAGATACAATTACCTTTTGCTTTGTTTATGAAGTCGTAAATGACAAATAGCTTCTGACAAAATATCTGTGTATTGGGCGGCATTCCAAGGTGATATTGCAAGAAGTGCAAAAGATTGTCAGACTGGAATTCTGAGCTTTCCTTTGCAGCTTCCCCTGTTATCAGTCTTGTGAGCAGTTAACAGACCTCAGCCATCAGGCTCTCAAGGCTTGTCTCATAACAGTGACCAATCGCTCGGGGACTAATATTGTGTGCCTTGAGAAATTGCTTTCTTCCTCCGAGAACCTTCACAAAGAAATTGGACTCTTTAAACCACTTAAGGGGGTGATCAAAACTGTCCTGCTTGAACTGGAAGATGGTTTTGACAGTTCTTGGAACAGGCCCATAAAGGAGCACTCTGCCACCGAGTTGCTGCTCATAATTGTGAAAAATCTTGTCATGATCCGAGTTTCCTGTGCCATAAAGCTGCTGAGTTACAGACAAGCACAACGCTGGTCAGAAAGTGTTACCATCAAATTTTTCAGGGTGAATGTCACAGGTAGAAGGCACCCTTACTGACATTGCAGAGCAAGAGTAGTTGAGAATGGAGTAAGATATCTACTGAGGTCTGTTGTAAATAAGAAGTATGTTTATATTTTGGCAGAAATCAGCCTTTCTGTTTGACATATGGCTTGACAACTCAATTTAAGTAAGCTACCAAAACTGATTATTTGCTGTCAAGCCTGTGACTTGAGGCTCAGGGAAAGCAACTTACAGGAAGGGTGAAAAGGGCTATGTGATTTTAAAAAATAGTATTTAGTGGAGGAAGACATGGTGCTGACAGGATACAGCACAGGTCTCTGATGTTTGGTTTTATTCTACCACTGCCCTGCTTAGGAGATCATTGCCCAGGCACTTCCAGGGCCCAAAACTTAGGAGGGATTTTATAGAGCCCTGAAAATAGCCAGAAAAGAGCCAGTTATTAGCCCTTGATAGGTGGGTCAGTTGTTGGGTTTGGGTTTTTAAATTTTTTTCAAATTAAAGTAATGCTGAAAGAAGCCTATAGTCAAGGGGCTAAGCATACAGAATAAAATCTATCACTGCAGCTGGCTTTTGCTCTATTAGCTTGATTTTTTCAGGATTTTAGCTGACAGTAGAATTCATGCCACGCTTAGTGAGGCTTTTGTTTATCCAAAGCTTATAGATTTATAGAAGGTGTTGAGCCCTGACAATAAGAATCCAGTCTCTTGAGCTGGAATGCTCTTGGCTGCTAAAAAATCTGCTGCCTTGCACCAAAGTCATAAATTCCTTGATGTTGCCTCTGTCAAATCTCTTTATTGCACAGCCACGTGGGGAAGATATTACTTTTGTTTTTTCCTCTTAGCCACCACGATAAACTTTTGATATGGAGTTGTGAGGAGAGATAGAGGAAAGATGCCATTAGAAGAAGGGAAGACAAATGGAAAGTCAGGGTCCTGTCTAGAAACACATTCACTTTGCTATATGGGTGTCATCCAGCTTAAGAACTGCATTCACTTTTCAAAAAAAACCCCAAAACCTTAGCATACTCCTCAATAGCAGTCCATCTTCCCAGACACTTTTGTAAGCTGCAACACTGAAAAACATAACCATCTACTATTTTTTCCCAGTTGGTCAGAATTTAAAGGAAAAAAAAATGAAAATTGTAGGCTCTGCAAAATCTTGTGTAACAGTTACAAAACTTCCAAACTCTCCTCTCTATTCTGACTGTCAGCTAAAGATGTTGATACACCCAGAGCTTTCTGGGCTCCTCTATGAGTGGTTGCAATCACCTGTGAATGTTTTAACTATTAATAAAATCAATATTACCTGGCATCTATGTGACATCTAGATTCTCCATCATATTTTCAATCATAAAAGTATGGAACCAACTGTTAAAGGACTTTGGAAGGGTTTTTGTTGGTTTTTTTTTTGTTTGTTTGTTTGTTGGTGGTTTTTTTGGTTTTTTTTTTTTTGTCTTGGGCTGACATTTTCTGTATATTTCTCAAATTAATTGCAGGATTTATATAACTGGCTTTTCTTAAAAATGCTTTAGGAAAGAGGCTTATTTTCTATTAAAGAGGATGGAATAAAACTGCATCTGCTAGAAGATTTTTTAGCACTTGAATCTAAAACAAAAAAATGGAAAATATGTAGAGTCAAGTTCAATGTAGTCCCTTTATAATAAGGGTCTAAAAATAATCAGCCTCTAATGGATAAAAAAAAAAACTTCTGGAAAATGTAGCATTACACTTTATATATTTGCTATAAAAAATAGCATCACTTCACAAAATGGGCTGGAATTCTGTTATATCTGGATGAATCATCACCCTCCAGAGCTGTTACTGAGCTGTGTGCTGTTCTTGGAAGTGCTTGGAAGTGGTGCTGTGACAATGCTGGCCTGAGCAGCTGCTCCCTGGGGAGGACAGACACCTCCTCAGCAGTGCTGAGCAAAGGGGAAGCTTGGACATGAATTACAAGGATGCAGGGAGAGTGAAGCCAAGAACTTTCAGACTGACAGAAAGAAATATTATGACAAGACTGAGTCTGAAAAGATTCAGTTAAAGAGGGTCCTGAAGTAACGTTTGGTAGTGATGAGGACTAGGAAATATGTTTTGCAATTCCTCCCCTCTGTCACAAGTCCTTTTCTCATCAATTCTCAGGTCAACAGGGAAAAGTGATAACAGATGGAAAGGAAGATGTGAAGTATTTAGACTTACAAAATTGCTATTTTCCACCCTTTTGTGTTTTGCTTCTCAAAAGCACCACAAAGCACCAAACATCCAGATGGAAAGATTACATACAAGAATACATCTCTTGTATTCACTGCTGATTCTATTGTCCGTCTCCAAGCCCTTGGTCACATATTTGATTACTTATTTTAAGAGAAATGAAATGGTTGGTGGGAGCACTGAGGGAACATGGCAGGAAAGGGCTGTGAAGAGAAGAGAAGAGGGTGTCCCTTAGCCTCATGGGGTCCGTGGAGAGAAGGGGGTGTCTCGTCACCACCTGGGTCCGTGGGGACACAGACTATTGCTGTCCACTCAGCCCTGCTGAGGCCACATCTGAGCACCATGTCCAAATCAGGGCTCCTCCGTACAAGAAAGGCAAGGAGCTACTGGAGAGGGTCCAGCAGAGGCCACAAAGGTCATGAGGGGTCTGGAGCAATTTCTCTTATGAGGAGAGACTGCAAGAGCTGGGCCTGTTTAGTCTGGAGAAGACAGGACAGAGAGGGGATCCCACTGATGCACATTAAGATCTCAAAGGCAGGTGCCGAGAGGATGGTGCCAGAATCTTTCCAGTGGTGCCCAGCGACACCACTGAAAAAACTAAGACACAAGAAGTTTAACCTGAACATGAGGAAGAGCTTTACACTGAGGCAGCAGCGCACTAAAGGCTGCCCAGGGAGCTCGTGGAGCCTCACTCTCCAGAGACATTCCAAACCCCCCTGGACGTGTTCCTGAGACATCTGCCCGAGGTGACCCTGCCTGGGCAGGGCGGTGGGTCGAGACGATCTCCAGAGATCCCTTCCAGCCCCGGCAGCTCAGAGATCCGCGAGCAGCGGGCGCCTCGCCCCTCAGGAGGCCGCGAGCGGCAGCCGGGGAGGCGGCGCCTCCCGCCGCCCCACACGGCCGGGCCGCGCCGCCGCCCCCGAGGCGGCCGCTGGGGCGGGGCGGCAGCGGCGGGGCCGCCCCGCTGGCCCGCCCGTCCGCGCTGCCCGTGCCAGAGCCTCGCGCGGTGCAGCCGCGTTTCCCTCCCTTCTCCAGCCTGCCTCCCTTCTCCAGCCGCCCGGGATGGGCGTGCGGAGCGGCGGGTGCGAGCCGCGGGCAGCGCTGGGGCGGCGGCGCCTGTGGGGCGGCCGCTGAGCGGAGGCGCGTCCCGCTGTGGGGCTCCCGCTCGCCGGCAGCGGGGCTGGGGACAGTGCCGGCGGCCTGGGAAGGGGCAGCGGTGAGGGGTCGAGCCCTGATCCCGGGCATGGCGGAGACCCTGAGCCCCTGCTCCCCACGGGGTCAGTGCCAGCCCAGCATGGGCGCCAATACCTCGTCCGCCAACGTGGACACCAACGCCTCCTCCTCGGTGGTGGGCGGCAGCGCGTGGAGGGGCCGGGAGCCCTTCTCCATCTTCACCGTCCTCATCCTCACCCTGCTGGTGCTGCTGACCGTGGCCACCTTCCTCTGGAACCTGCTGGTGCTGGCGACCATCCTGCGAGTGAAGGCCTTCCACCGGGTGCCCCACAACCTGGTGGCCTCCACGGCGGTGTCGGACGTGCTGGTGGCGGCCCTGGTGATGCCGCTGAGCCTGGTGAAGGAGCTGTCGGCCGGGCGGCGGTGGCGGCTGGGCCGGGAGCTGTGCCTCGTGTGGGTGTGCTTCGACATGCTGTGCTGCACGGCCAGCATCTGGAACGTGACGGCCATCGCCCTGGACCGCTACTGGTCCATCACCCGGCAGCTGCAGTACACGCTGCTCGCCCGCCGCCGCATCTCCAACGTGATGATCGCTCTCACCTGGCTGCTGTCCGCCGCCATCTCCCTCGCCCCGCTCCTGGGCTGGGGGGAGACCTACAGCCCCGAGCAGGAGCGCTGCCAGCTCAGCCAGGACCCGTCCTACACCATCGTGTCCACGGGCGGGGCGTTCTACCTGCCCCTCTGCGTGGTGCTCTTCGTCTACTGGAAGATCTACAAGGCGTCCAAGTTCCACATGGGGGCCCGCAGGAGGAACGCCGTGGGGCCCCTGCCCGAGGCTGCCCAGGTAAGGCTGGCCAAGGGGGGGATTCCCCGCTGCTCCCCCCGGCACTGCCATCCTGCTCCTCCTCAGCTCCGGCCCTCACCCCTGCGATGGTGTGTTCGGCACAGCGAGAAGGATGCCAGGTGCCTCGGAGGCTCCCGTGTGTTTGACTTTGTCACAGTCTGGACGTGAGCACAATTAGCCAGTCAAAAAGTGCAGCTCCTGGAGAAAAGCTTTATTCTCGTTTTTTCCTTGTGGGTTACAAGAGTAAGGGACAGGTGTATTCTCTGCCAGTCAGGAGAGACATTTGAAAATTGTCTCCTTGTTCTGAATTTGCCATTCCTTGGAGGTTTGGTTTTTTTTGGTTTTTTTTTTGGGGGTTTTTTTTTTTTCCCTCTATATTGCTTCTAGTGTTGGTGGGGTAAGAAAAGACATAAACAGATCCCCAGGTCCTGTACCAAGATAAATGTGCATTTGTCTACCAGCACAGACTTTGTGTGTCTGAATACATTCTGGTAAGCAAATTAAGCACTATTCACAATATAAACTTATATCTATATATAGCTTGGGCTATTTTTCCTTGAATGCTGCTCACTGCCTAGTGTTGAAGCAATGAGCAATCATTTCTGGTTTAAAATTACCTGCTGGCTTCAAGACCATGTTCTCCTTATCCCAAAGATTGTCTGTAATCATGCAGTGCCCTAGCCATTTGGGAGGTTTTGTTCATTTTGGGACAGGAAAGCTGTGTCCCTTCAGAAGGGTTGGGGTTAGCTCCTTGTGCTCCCTAAGCCAGGCTCTCTGCATGGTGCTGCTGTCACCCATTCCATGCCTCCACCGTGCTTGGCTGTGCTCTCTGTAAACTTTCCCTGTCTGCTATCTCATACTCTTACTCTCACTCCTGTCAGTCTTTATGTTTTTGTTATGTTGCACTTCCTAAGTCCAGTCCCTTCCCAGTAGCCCAAGATGATCTTTCTGGACGTTAGAGATACCTACAGAGAATGTTCCTGTTCCATTTGGGGTTAATCCTGCAGAGCCTCATTCCCCTGCAAAATCCTGTCTTTGATTTGGAGGCAGGGAAGTTCATTATGATGGTCACAAGTAAGAGGCTGTAGGTTGTGTCCCCAGATGCTTGCAAGAGATGCACTAGTATAATTGTATTATTGCTCTGGAATAATTGCATAATTGCACTGGCAATTATGTGTGATTAGACTCGCAGATTTGGATCATAATGTCTTCAAGCTAATTCTAATAGATATTGATTTATGAAGGTATCTTCTATGAAAAAGCAAAAAATTTGTTAGAAAAGTAGAGAATGTCTCCTCTAGTGGCATTTTTTTTCCCTACGATTTTCAGCCCCTAGTTTGCACCAGATTTCTTCCAAATTGTTTTAAGTACAATGAAAATATTTCTTGGAGTTAATGTATAATCTCTTCAAGCACAAAAGCCAGCTGATTATTTGTAGTGGTTTTGCATGCTCTATCTGTTACACACACACCTACCCACACAGGACTAGTTGTTTGGAATCTAAAAGTCTGGGAAGTGAAATGAACTGAGGCATTGCTGCTCGAGCCAGTGGCAAGACACCTCACATGACAGTTTTAGCAAGACTGAGTCTGGCTGCAAATTGTCACAGTTCTGTCTGCGGGAGGCCCTGCGTGGGCCCAGCCTGGCTGCCAGGTGGTGCTTTTTGTGATGCAGCATCGGGGGCTGGTTTAGGCTGCACTGACACAAGGGCTCTGTCAGAGTGAGCTACACACGCGTTTTTGGAGGGGTTATTGTGATGCTAGCAGATGCTCAAGCTAGTAGATCTTTTTTCTTATTGGTGTGATTGACATATTAACTTCTCCTAACAGGGATTCTTGAGTCTGCAATTGATGTGTAGTGTCAGCTTCCCCTATTGTCCCAGCAGCTCTGTTTGCTGGCTTCAAATAAAAGACTTCTGTGATTCAGATGCAAACTTTGCTCCTCACCTGAAGGAGGAGCGGATGCTGCACACATGTACATTAAATGAACTCGTGGATCAAGCAAGCTGGCATTCAGGATGCATTTCTTTGTTTTCTTTCTAAATTGAGATACTGAGATTTACTTACTGAGTGTTATCCTGATCTTTTTTAAGAATGTCATAGTGGGATCCATCACTTTCACAGGAAGAGTAGCAGTTCCCCAGTGAATTTTGGAGGGGAATCTTCACACGCATCATTACTGTTCTTTGGCAAAACCCTGTTGTTTTTTTAACATGCAAACACAAAGGTAACATTGCCAATCTTTGCTTCTCTGCATGCAGGGGTGATCAGGCTGTCAGCATCAGCTCTGTCCTCTCTGATGGGGCAAATTCTGTTCTGCTTCTCATGGTTTGTCCATCAGCTCATTCTGTTTTTCCCATTATTTCTCCCTTGATTCTCTCCTCCCTCTACTTTCTTCCATCTCTGTTCTCAGAGAATGCTCACCTGTCATGCTCACCCTGGCAACGTTTGCCTTCTGTCACTGTGACTCTGGATGTGAATTCCCCTCTGCATCTATGTCAGCTCTCACTCCAGGTGCCCTGCACCAGCTGATCTGAAGAATATTAGCAGGGTTTTTTTGGCAGACGATGCCAAAGGCTGGCAGTGCTTCCCAGTCTGGAGGTGAGCAATAACACCAGTGATCCCTGCTGGGAGAGATGTCTGTGCTGCACTCAGGAATGAGCTGTCAGGTCGTGCTGGACTGGAACTGCACAGCAGGGCTGCAGTTGGTGGCCTGAGGTAAAACCAGCTGGTTAATTCTGGCAAGGCTAAGGACAGAAAAAGTGTGAGTCCATAGCATTCAAATGCCAGTAAGGGTATCTTGGAAAAACCAATGCACCAAGTGGAGCAGTGAGGATGATACCTTAATGTTTGTCAGCCAACAGAGTCAGGCACCAAAGTGCTTTGCAGGTGCCTATATATATATATGTATATAATGGTTTGGGGTTTTTTCACAGAGAAAGGGCATTACTTTCAAACTGGGAGTTGGCATACATACCTTATGTTCTTACAGAGTGGCAGAATAGAATAGGTACAAAATAACTATTCTGAGTCATTCTTTGATTGTAATTTTACTTGTGTAAAAGTTTTTACTTGTTTACTTTTCAAAAGCAGTGGCAGAATAGAATAGGTACAAAATAACTATTCTGAGTCATTCTTTGGTTAAAATTTTACTTGTGTTTTTGAAAAAATTCAGGTGAGGGAGATGGACGTGAAACATCTGAGATGCTTCTGGTTTTAATGAGAGCTTGGTTTTTGCTTTCCTTTGAAGTAAAATAATTGCCAAATTGGGATTCTAAATTAAGCTGGCACTTTTATAAGTTTTTGTTTGCCAATTATGAAACTCCCTGAAAAGTGAATTCTGCAGGCAACACTGATGTGGGTGACCCTCATTAAAAACCTAGTGACATATCATCACTGACAGAGGGCTATGCTCTGTCACACCTGGTTGACAGCAGGCAATAATTCTCTCTCTAAACAGTCCAATTGAAATAAATGAGACTGCTTGAAAACCAGCAGATACTGAGTGCCCTTTTAAATCAATGAAATCACTTGTAGCATAGGGATAGCCTAGCAAAACTGAGAAGGATGGGATCTGAATTTCTGCATTATTTACAAGTAGCAGTTGCAAAATCAGGTTTAAATTTTCATGTGAGGAGTTAAAAATTGAGTTCGGTTGGTGATTGGTGGAGGTCTTGTTGGTGGGTGGTTTTTTGTTGTTGTTTTCTTTGTTTTTTATTTATTTCTCCCCTCTCAAAGTACTTACCCATATGTATATAAAAACATTAGGCATGGTCCAAACCTTGGAGTTTTGTGAGAGTCCTTCCCACTTTGGATAACATCAGGCCCCAGAGCTCCAGAGGTGCTGTGTTGTTCTGCACCTTGGCCCATTCAGCTTCTCCAACCCACTTAACCAGTCAGGACAATGTGAGAGAAAAAAAAAAAAACAGATTCTCCTTTTCTGAAGGGGTCACAGGCATTTTATTTCTTATTTGTGCCTCTGTACAAGTAGAAGAGGTGGGCCAGGAAACAAAGTTCAGCTGTCCAGAAGAGGTGCAAAAAATGTCCAGAAAAGAGTGAGGAAGGAAGCAAAGTGGAGTGGGGAGTTATTTCCTGGGAGAAATACAGTTAGTCCTGCTTACAGCAGTAGAAAATCCTGTGAGAGAAAGCAGGTATTCTTCTCCCTGTCAGATGAGCTGTTTGTCATGTTGGTGGAATATCCAAGACAGTGTAGACATTTCTATGTTTTGATCCTTTGTTGTGCATTTAGCTTCTTGTGCTCTTGTTCAAAGAGCAAGTAGTGTGCCAGGGCTGCACTGAGGCAGTATGACCTTTGCTGAGCCACACTGTGACAGGCAAAGCTCTACATTTGTGGTGCTAAGCCAGATTTGATTGATGTGTATCATTACTGTTGTTTTGTTATTGCAGCCCTGCAGGTGCAGGACAGACACACGCCGAGCACCTGCCATGAAGGACCAGTAATAACAATCATTAAAGCTATAAGGAACATTTTAAATCAAAGGATTTTGTCAGAAGGTCCTCGGTGGCATGTTTTCTATGACATTCTAGGAATACAGGAATTGGGAACACACAGCTCTAGGAACATGTATCCATTTAGGAGTAATAATTTACTGGGGACAAACAAACAAGAGAAGAGGCATTGAACTGTAATTGCTGATCAGTGTACAGAAGAATAAATTCTGGAACTAAAACCAAACTCCTTTGTGACTGTAGAAGGATTTGTACTTGAGCTCATTCCCTTCATTTACTTTTTATTAGTCTCACAGAACAGCGGTTATCTCTGCAGTTCTCACAGCCCACTGTCCTGGAAATAGCTGATTTCATGAGTTCAGAACCAAATTCTGGCCTCAGAGGAGCAGTCCTTTCATGCCAGCTCTTTCCCCAGTGCTCCTGACTCGCAGCTCCTGGAGCAGTGCCTGGGCAGATGGAAGGAAATCTGTGCCCGAGGCAGAGAGTGCTGCTAGACACCGAGTGAGAACAGTGTGCAGCACTGCAGAGATGGCTCCAGCATAACCCAAGGCATCTCCATGGACTGCTCTAATTTACAGTCTGTGACCACCTCTTCTGCTGTCACAGCCTGCTTGCTGGTGCTCATCAGTAAGCCCAAAATGGAGGCAAAGGTTCCATACTTGTCCTTTGTTCTGTGTGGTTTGGGGGTAAAGGTCAGCTGTTGTGACTTGCATTGGAAACTGGAGTCATGAGAAGCCTCTGGGGCTGGCACTGGGAACTGGAGATTTGATGCAGTTAGAGCTGCATTAGTTCTAGCAAGTAATTTACAAAACATACCATGATCTAGTTTCACTTGCTCTTTTGTTTACAGAGGCTTGACCTAACAACCAGGGAAGTTTGTAAAAACTCCTCTTACTTCAGTAGGAGCTTGACCAGGCTGTACATGCAGGCTTCATTGTGGAAAACACCTGAGGATTGAGGTATCTTCTAGCAAAGGATATTAAATAATCTTTTCTTACAATATATAATTAAGTGATAAAAGGGTCACTGCTAGGAAATTCTGCAGTCATAATGAGAAGTGAGAAGGCTCTGATTTGATTATGTAATTAAGTGATAAAAGGGTCACTGCTAGGAAATTCTGCAGTCAGAAGCAGTGAGAAGGCTCTGATTTGATTTGTGATTTGATAATGGCACACAGCAAGCTTCATCTTCTGAGCAGGAGTTGAAGGTTAAATACAGTATCAAACTGTGCCTGGTGCTCCTGAGGAAGTCCTTTGTATGGCTGTTCCCAGGAGGCACTTATGTAACTGTTCCTCAGGGCTAAGACAATCTTTCAGGGTTGCTTGTCACAGATTTGTCCTCGTGTCATACATTCATCCCTTTTTGCAGAGTGTGATTAAGGACGTGCAGAGCAAGTCCTTCAGACAAATGGTGTGATCCTTGCTACATGAGGGGTGTCCCATTTTAATTGTCAGAACAGATGTGATTTTCATTTTCCTCCATTATTTGCCTGTGCCCATAATCTGCTGCTGTAATGTTCTGCAGCCCCGTCTCATGTCTGAGGGTACAGACAGGGATATCCATCCTCAAGAGTGATTGTTCAGCCACTGCTTCACTGTCTGAATTGCTGTGCTCATACTGAGTACAGGCCCTCCTTCTATTGCAAAGGTAGCACATGAATGTGCAATATGTAGCTAATCTAACAATGGCCCATATTTGGAGTGCCTGTGAATTATCACTCAGGCAAATTTTACAGCCTTAAGCTGTTACTCTTTTCATAAGTGTAGTGCCTAGAAGAACTTTAATATCACAGACACTTCAATCTTCAGATTGAAATCTCTAGGGATTGTCTTCATCTGTTCTGACTCAAAGCACACAGCTTCTGCCCAGGAGCTGTTTGCCGCAGAGCACTGTGCTGTACTCACTGCAGACACGAGTCTTATGGCTGTTCCCAGGAGGCACTTATGTAACTGTTCCTCAGGGCTAAGACAATCTTTCAGGGTTGCTTGTCACAGATTTGTCCTCGTGTCATACATTCATCCCTTTTTGCAGAGTGTGATTAAGGATGTGCAGAGCAAGTCCTGCAGACAAATGGTGTGATCCTTGCTACATGAGGGGTGTCCCATTTTAATTGTCAGAACAGATGTGATTTTCATTTTCCTCCATTATTTGCCTGTGCCCATAATCTGCTGCTGTAATGTTCTGCAGCCCCGTCTCGTGTCTGAGGGTGCAGACAGGGATATCCATCCTCAAGAGTGATTGTTCAGCCACTGCTTCACTGTCTGAATTGCTGTGCTCATACTGAGTACAGGCCCTCCTTCTATTGCAAAGGTAGCACATGAATGTGCAATATGTAGCTAATCTAACAATGGCCCATATTTGGAGTGCCTGTGAATTATCACTCAGGCAAATTTTACAGCCTTAAGCTGTTACTCTTTTCATAAGTGTAGTGCCTAGAAGAACTTTAATATCACAGACACTTCAATCTTCAGATTAAAATCTCTAGGGATTGTCTTCATCTGTTCTGACTCAAAGCACACAGCTTCTGCCCAGGAGCTGTTTGCCGCAGAGCACTGTGCTGTACTCACTGCAGACATTGCAGACACTTGCCCTCAGTGAGAGGAGACAAGAAGCACTGTCAACAGCCTGGAGTAGCTGAAATTTTTTCCTCTCTTGTATAACCTCTACTGAAGCCAGAGTTTGAACTGAAGGTCAAATGAAATGGTGTTTTTCTGGCAATGGTGTACTTTTTGAGAAAGTACAGAATCACAGAATGGTGGGACTTGGAAGGGACCTCTGGAGATGATCTAGTCCAAGCCGTGCTGAGGCAGTTCACCTAGAGCGGGTCTGAAGGCCATGTAGCAGCTTGAGTCTGGTGCAGGGATAGGCAGCAGACACAGGCTTTTGTTATCCTGCCTTGACAACCTCATTTCCCCCTGGGTATGAAGGCATCCAGTACAATGAACTGAAAGAGTCCCACAACACACATGGTACCAGGTACTCTGTATTTAGCTCTGTTTGTCAGTTACACTTGGCAGCTTTTCCAGTGTAATGAGTTTGGCACTCTGGGGTATTTTCTTTCTTTTAGCATGGAAGGAATGAAGTTCAGGCCTTTTGTGGTAGGCGCACAGATGTTGTGCTGTCATTTAAAAGTAATACTTCACTCAAACAAACTGTCTCGGTAAGAAACTGTGTTTGCTTTTGTTTGAGGTGAAGGAAGCTTCGAAGGAACCACAGATGGTGTTTACAGCTCGTCGTGCAGCTATCACTTTCCAGACAGATGGAGAAACATGGAGGGAACAGAAAGAGAAAAAGGCAGCTCTGATGGTTGGCATCTTAATTGGAGTTTTTGTACTGTGCTGGATCCCTTTCTTCATCACAGAATTAATAAGTCCCCTCTGTTCCTGTAACATCCCTCCCGTCTGGAAAAGCATCTTTCTTTGGCTTGGCTACTCAAATTCTTTCTTTAATCCTCTCATTTATACAGCATTTAACAAAAATTACAACAATGCCTTCAAGAACCTTTTTGTAAAGCAAAGATAAAAGGGGACACAGAGGAGAAAATTATTATTGCGTATAGGAAACATGCCTGTGCTATGTACAGTTTTCATGCACAAGAGCTACTTGAGGGGATTTAGGAGCGGTGAAAAAGAAGATGGAAGACGTCTGGATATAAACCTACTGAGAGTTTTCAGCTCCCCCTTAGAAATACAGATGTGCTACGCCAGTGTTTGGCAAAGAAGGTGGAAGCAGGGAATGGCTCCCGTCTGCTCTTCAGTCCTCACAGGCTGAGGTCTGCCAGCGGAGCGCTGTGTGTGTCGGGTGCCGCGGCTGTCACACCCAACACGGCTGATCCCGCCCCAGCAGCCCCGGGCCGTGCTGGAGCTCTCCTCATTAGCAAAGGCACCGGTGGGAGATGCTAATGAGCGATCCTGACGTGTTTGTGATATGGGCAGGATGCTGGCTTCGGGTTTGAGATTTATTTGGAAGGGTATAAACATGCTGCAGTCAATCAGTCCTTGAGTTGATGTGAAATTAAAGTGGATGACCAAGCAGCTCAGAAACACACCCTGCCAGGACTGAGGGTCTGTGTGCTCTGCAAGCAGCAGGGCTGGATGGGCAGGCTTGGTCAAACAGGGGCCAGCTGTGTCCCCTGGGGTTAAGTGAAACTTAAGGGACAAGCATAGAATTATTCAGAGCCCCTGAGAATGTGTTCTCACTGCTTTCACAGGAGGATCTAGTGAGCATTTTTCACTTGCGTGTCCTCTCTCACTCTGCCAGGCTCAGACTCTCCCTGTTTTATGAAACCCAGGTGAGCTCAAGATAGACACCAACACCTCCAAGTGAATGGGGACTGTGTGCATGGTTATTTCATGCTACCATAAAACTGAGCAGGCATCTGTGTTACAAACTCCACACAGGATGCTCAGTCACACCAAGTGTGCTGGCAGCAACATGTGGCTGCTTGGCAGTGGTAGGTGAGTGCCTGCACCGTGTCTGGGGCCCTTGCACCATAAATGTGCTCATCACCCAACCTGGGTGAAGTCCACAATTTGTCAGCTGGCATCAACTTCCTCCTACTGTAACAAAGGTGTTGGTGCCATCAGGTTTAAGAGATTCCCCAAAACCCAAAGAGACTCAAACCTAAGCCTTAAATAATTTTCCCAAGATCTGACAAACATCCCTGACCCAACAATATATACATAAATAACCTATTTCCTTGCATACTGCCAAGTCCATCTTGCTCCATATTTGTTTCTCTGGTGGGTTTTATTTCCTCCCCTGCTCTGAGTGGGAGGGCTGACAGCATCTCTGAGTATTTCTAGCATGGCAGCTTTTTACTGACACAGAGTCCCAGGAAGCTTAAGGGAGCTTGGCTGCATCTCAGGAGCACAGTGTATGGTGAGGTCAGGCAGTGCTGCACCTCACACCTGCAGTGCTGTGACAGTCCAGGGTGACCTGCTGTGCCCACAGCCACCTGTGTGTCTTGCATTCCTGCAGACACAGGATTTTTGTGTCTCAATTTCAGTGGGAATTCAGAAGTTTTAATTACCTAGAATTTCAAAAGAGTTGTTAGACAGTGACTCAGACTTAAATGCTTATTTAAATAACTTTCCCTTGTGACTCTCAACTTGCCTGCATATGGAATAGCTACCATTCAAACCAGTCTTTGGATGATTAATTAAACCAGAAGGAAGGCACATATGTAAGAGACTGAATGTTACTAAAACCTGCAGCCTCATTCAGAACCACTGCCAAATTTTTCAAGTCAATTGATTTTTTTCATGTAAGAGAGTCACTGCTCTAAAACCTTTAAAATCCAAACAGATTACATGGATGGAGGAAATGCAGAAGTCATCCTCAGCTGGTGTTGAAAAGCATACAAATCTTCTGCATGTGGCACTCCTGAAGTTTCTAATAAACATGTTTTGGACAAATTTTAGTGCCTGTACTTCCTCAGCCTGGTAAGCCAAGCCATTACTGTCACACAAATCCACTGCCAACACTGGTGCCCTGGCCCATCCCCGTCTGGCTGCAGGAGCTGCAGTGATCTCCAGCTGCACATTCCAACTGACTGGAGCAGCACCCAGCTCCAGTTCCAGAAGCAACACAGGCTGTGCAGGCACCTTGTACCATGGCTTGGCCTCTGGAACATGGGAGGACAGCACAGAGCTGCAAGGCCCCTGTGCAGTTCCTGCAGCCGCACACGTGCAGGGCGCTGCTGCAGACACGGACCTGCAGCACAAGCAGGAGAGCAGCAGCAGGGCACTGACACAGCTCTCCTCCTCCTCAAAGATGAATTTAGCTCCCTTAGGAGATGAGGCTGGGCCTCTGGAGTTCTGAAGGGAAGCAGCTAGTGTTCTGCCCACCCAAGCATCTGTGCCAGCAGCGAGTGTTACAGTGACAGGCTCACACAGCCAGCCTCCCTGCACACCCAGAGGCTACAAGAGGCAAGCAGAGCTTTCATTTCACTGCAGTGGCTTTAGAAAGCTCTCAACAAAACCAGCTTCCCACACTGGCTCTAAATCCAGACTGCATTTGGAAGAGTGACGGCACAGAATTGGGATTTAAAATTCTGGGTGTTAATCACAGCTTGCTGTGGGGAAAAGAAAATATGTATCAGTGGTTGCTGCCTAACTTGCTGGATGCTCCCATATGAACTAAGATTAACGACACAGTATCTTGACTATTCAAACAGAAAAAAAAATCAAATATTCTAAAGCGACATCATTTGGCACAGCTTAGATGTTATGTATTTATTTCCCCAATAGAAGCTGCCACTTTGGAGTACAGCAATCATCTCTGCTTTTAAGCAGTGGACTACTAGTTTTAAACTTCATTTCCTGACATTGAATTTGCTCCTAGAAAAATTTATTTGAGCCTATTGCTCAGCAGAAGGGCAGAGTTGCATCCTGCAGCAAGGCTCTGAGAATCCTGCAGCAGCTGCAGTGTGGGAGCCCAGAATGTGCAGAAATGAAAGGGCTTTGGAAGATGAATGTGAGCAGACAATGCTAATAACCCTAATAAAGAAATTAGGTTTTGCGGCAAGTCCTGTAAATGTTACAAGTCTTAGAAGGTAACACCAAATGAGTTCAGGGCAAGACCTTTCTCTTTCAACAAGGAAATCCAGCAATACTGAAGAAAAATTCTGAGAATTCCTTGCTTGCAACCAGCTGAGATGGAGAATTAAGGCAGATTCTCCTTGCTGTTGGTTTCTCCCCAGGTATGAGGAGAAACGGCACCCAACAAACAGAGCCTGTGCCAGGAAGCAAGGAACAGCTGATGGAACTGTTTTCACACCCTCACCAGCTCCTCATTTTCACATGGGCCTCACACCAAAGGTACTGGCCATCTGCCCTGGGCTCCATCTACAGCAGACAGTGAGTTATGATTTATCCTTTGTGAGCAACAACTTCATTCCACAAACCTCAGATTTCTATAAGTAGCACTCAATGCAGGTTTCCTTCTTTGAAGGAATGCTGAATGTAAATTTTTCCTTCTTTGAAGGGACTTGGAATCTGATTTTGCCTTCATTATTTTGTTAGCCCTGGGCAGACTGACTTTTTGAACATATTCAAGAGGAGCAGCCCAGATCTATTCCCTCAGTAACCAGTGTGAGGGAGCAAGGTCCAGCTGGCTCCGTGGGAAGGTTTCCTTTCTGTTTGTGCTGCAGGAACAGGACATCACAAACACAGTGACTCATTGGCTATGGACACGATTCATCTTTTAATGCACTTGTAATTCAGGAGTCTGGAAAAGCTTCTAAGGCAAGTTCCACCTTAAAAACACGATATCAGAATGTCAGTGGATTCCAAACATTCTTTATTTTATATCTGCTGCCACAGACAGTAATCGAACAGCGCTGTCATCAGTGCCAGTGGGAAAAAGGAACACGGGTCTTCTTTTCCTGAAGATGTCATGTACATTAAGAAGTCAGTCCAAAATCCTGGTGTTAAGTACAAAAAGCAATTGTTTGAATTATAAAATACTGTATATACAGATATAAAAATGTCTCAGAAAGTGTCCCACAAAGTTTCTGAACTTTCAAGAGCAAATCTTCAGCAGGGTAAGTAGGTTGTTGTCTTCAAAGGTGAGCATCAGTTCATTAGAGCAGAATGTCTCAATCTTTATCTTCCTATATTACAGGTGACAGACTCTGATTTTCATCCCAGCCAGGGATAATGTGGTGATCCTAGTATTAAGGTGTTTTTTTTTCCTGGAGCTATTAATTTAACAAGCAAACTCTCTATATATAAAAATGAAATTTCAAAAAATTTATACAACAGCTAGACTTTATAAAAATATAGATCTATAATTTTACACCAGGAATTATCCAAGGTAAGTTTTCATTTTCTTAGTCGTTAGAAATTAATTGTTATCCTTTGGAATCCTATATATGGCTAGAGTATAAACTAAAATAATGTGAAGTTATTAACTGGAAAAGCAAGTTTGAAGAATCTCATTCTGTGGGTTTTTTTGGGGCCAAAATTAATAAACTACTGCATTCTGCAGTGCACATCCTGTGGGCTAGTAGACATGCTACACAGTACATGTAAACTTATTCCAGAATTTTCACCTAATTCAGTGTTAAAACCCAAATAAAAAAACATTCCCACTGTCCTTACTGTAGAAAAAGAAACCCAAACCCAAATAAATAAAGTTAGACAGTATTTCTATTTTGCTGTACTGTGTTAACTCTTTACTGTGTAGTGGAGGCAATAATGAATAATACAGCCATGTGATGAGGGAATGTAAACTGAACACATACTGGAAAAACCAGACTTTTACAGCTGTGTGTATATATATTTTTTATATATATCTATATATATACATCTACATTGCAGTTATAACTGTCACCTCACAAAAGAGATTCAATGGACTGAACAATCTTCTATAAATTTCCCCAGCTGGAGTTCTTCAGGAAGAACTGGCTTTCAGCTTGGACAGCAGCATTTCATTCTTACGGCATTCCTGTTAACAGAGAGCAAACATGCTAGGAGGAATTGCTCTTAACTCTGCTACCTGTATCCTCACACCAACAGAACCAAACCCTTTCTTTCATTTTGAAACATCTCCACAATCCAAAGGAGCCTGGAGTGAGTGATAAGTTGAAGATAATTGTTATTCCAATGGCAATACTCATTAAACTTCATACATGCAAGCCAGAAGGAACACTGCTTGACCACTCTGAAGTTTTTACATGTAGCTAAAGCAAATTCAGCTTTTTACTTACAAGTAGAATAATCTGAAATGGAGATTACTTGTAGGTGATCTGGAACTACACAGGACAGTTTGCAAAAGAGTCACTGCTCAGAGAACAACTCTCAGTCAGGAAATATATTTACACAAGTACACCTGTGTTCAGTACCACAACCATGACGTTTTTATTTTTAAGGGTAGCAGAGTTGAGCAGAAATTCCCTCACATGGCAATGGAAGAAAAATAGGAAAAAAACTTAACAATAAATCTACCTAAATTCTGCAAGTAGGATGTAAAATTCTGCATGTCAGACAAGTAGCTGAACAGCCCCTGTCATTCTGCCAGAGTATGCTGTCTGAAACAGGAAGGAACTGTCTCAGAACAAAGCAGGAATAATTACACAAAGATGTTTTTCCTCGAACATATGAAGCCAAATGACAATTTTGCCTGCAGCATTCTTTTTCACTCATTCATTCTCATGGAGACAGCAAGTTAACAGAAGCCCAAGATGATTAAAAGCTTGGGAAAGGCTAAATCAATGAAGTGTTATACAGTGTTTTCACAGTCATTAGGCAACAAGGCTGGTTCCTGAAGATTAATGACCGAGATCCTGCATTTCCTCCTTATTCACACACATTTCCACACCCCTCTTTGCTCCAATAACTAACTGCTCAGAGACCTTCAAGAGATTCCACTTGAAAACCACTGACTTGATGATAACCTCTCCCTGTAACACGGAGAGGTGCCAATCCAGTAGTGAAAGGACTCCCAGAATCAAATTCAGAGTCCAAGATTCACATGGTTAGAAAATGACCAAGATACCTCATGAACATGGTGTGATAAGCATCATATCAGGAAATCTTTTGCACATGTTAATACACAAGTCGCATCAAAATGGGTCACTGAACAGAACAGTTGAACATAGCAAAAGTGTTCTTACCTCTTTAAATTCTTTCACTGTTTTGAAGTAAAGCCTCTGTTTCTCTAGAAGCTCTAAGTATTCATCATTCAACTGGTCTCTTCTCATTTTGTTTTCTTGCTTCTTCTTTTCCATCTGTTGGTATGCAGGAAGGGTAAGAGATAGTATGTATGGGATACATATGGACATACTGCATAAGGAACAGCTATCTATAACACACAAGGGAAAACAGATACTTCATAAATGATACCCCTGGCTCGTACTTGAAATGCAATGAAGATTTAGGTCAGCTCTTAAAAATTAAAAGCCCAGTGCTGAAGTCTCAGTACCAGTGGCACTGTAGGTGCAACTGGGACAAGGGCACATGCTGACCCTCTTCCTGAGGTGCTGCTGACCCTCCTGAGCAGCAGAAAGCAGCTTCAGTCAGCTCCCAGTCTGAGAAACTGTGCTTGAGGTGCAGGTCTGACTGCACCACACAGTTCAGATGGAAGAGTTCTCACTGATTTCAGTGGCATTCAGTTGTCTCAGGCATTTCAATCACTGCACCACCAGTAATGAAGTAGAGAGGTATAAGATTCCTGGCAGGACAGAGGTGTTGTAACACCTCTGTCATACTCTATTCACTGACATTTAGTGGTGAGAAGTTTCAGACAAATGTGAAAAGAAATAATACTTTTTAGTTGTTTGCCTAATTTGCACCTCATGTAATGGACAATAATTGTGCGTAGAAAGATCCAAGAGGCTTTGTTGAGATAATTCCCAGGTTTCAGCAAAGAGAGTGAGAGGAGTCAGACCTTCATTCGATTCTGTTTGATGCCTTCTACAATCTGCTCCATCTGCCGCAAAAACTGCTCCCGAGATCCGGACGATGCCATGGCTCTGGAAAGAAGGAAATGGAACACCTGACAGGGTTGTGGGACACTGTGTGTCCAGTCAGCTGCTGTTGTCTTGCACATCTACCCATGTCCAAAGCTCTCACTGCTTAGTGTTCTGTGTAAAAATTCATCCTTTTAGTCACTGGTACCACTGACAGTGCAGCTCTTCAGCTACCAAGGAGATGGGCACAGAGAGCTCAGAGCCCGTCACAGGGCTGCTCCCTGTCAGCTCAAGGCTGTTCCTTGCTCTCATGTGCTGTACAGAAATAACTGCTAATAACTAAATAAAAACATAATTTTTTAAGAAAGGCCTCTGTTGTGAGTAGTAAGAAGGTGACTTGAGGTCTAGAAGAACAGTAAATTTTGTACAATTTCTCACTGTAATAGGGAAAGCCTACAAGTCATTTTAGACCTCGAATCATTAGAGAAAAATAAACACTGGCTGATTCACAGACTGATCTTTGACCATGAACTTCCAAGGCAACCACAATTTTACACAGACTCCACAATGTATCAATTTCCAAATACAGAGGTAGTTTATAATAAATATGTCTGAAATACATCCCAGTCTAATGTTTTGTACATAATGTAATAACCACAACTCCACAAAAAGGAGGAAAATACTTAAATTAACTCCAGGAAAATTATGACTGAATTTCCACATCTAAAGAGTCAGATATTTAAAACATATGTTGGCTATAAAAGTTACGTAATTCCAAGTCCATGATTCCCCTTAAAAGTGGCTTAAATAGAGTTATAAACTAATTTATAGAATAGTTTATTGACTATACAATCTTCTAAGAAATTTTTAGTCTCTATAACTGATGCCCTCCCCACTTCTCCAACCAACTCTACCACTCTTTGCAACTATTATGAGATAAAGAACCATCACTTACTGGTGGAAGTTGTCATGGATAGAATTCAGTAAGTTAACCTGTGAGTTGGAAAAAAAATGAGGAAAATACACATTTGTCTTTTCTGGTATGAGTTTTCACAGACAATAAGATGAATTTTATTTAAAAAAAAATTCCTATATAGATAATGCCCTCAAAAGCAGACAGATGTACAAAAATTACCATGAGTTTTCTTTCAGAAGACAAACCACAATCCTTTTGATTTAGTAAAATCTATCCCACAGGTTGAAGCAGAAGTGTTGGACCACAACTGATATTTTTAATTTTACTGGCACTCAATTATACCACTGAGAGTTTTCCAGCACGATGCCTTCCCAAACTAAAGCAATAAAGTAAAATGGCCTGTACATGTGTTCAACATGTGTTGGAATTTGACATAAAAGCAGCTGCTGGTCCAGTGTTCAACAGTTACTGTTGACATGTGCACAAGCACATCACAAATAAACAGGAAAGAACACTTTTGCCTTTGAGATGGGAACCACTCAACACATTTTGAAGAACTGTTTCCACACAAGGGCTCTGAAGACTCTCCAAGCAGTGCAGGAGCAGCAGGTGAATTCCTGCACTGCTTTCATTGTGCAGATGAGGCTTACAGATTCCCTATCAGCCATGCATCATTTCTCACTTTGCTTATGTGTATTTTACTGGTTGCTAAAAGGTGAACTCATAAAAAGTACAGAATGGCATTTCAGAGATGTGGCTTCTCTTACAAGACAGTAACATTGCACTGAATGAAAACCAAAATAGACATTTCTAACATTTATTTTGCAGGAATATTTTGCTACTTGTATAAATTCCCCCAACTAATAAAACTATATGGAATACATCCTATGTAACTGCCTTTGATTTTTTCCCTGTTTTTTACATATTGCTGAGAGCATTAAAATTCAACAACTGGAAATTAAATGTGATCCTTTCTCTCAGTTTTGAATACATCTTGCAAGTCTCCTGCCTTCCAAGCAGTTTCTCCTTTTGAAGAGTTCTGCAAACCCAAGGGCTGCAAACAGAATCACCTGCCCCACTGCCACAGAAAGCTGAACTTATCTCTCCTAAATCTAAAATCCTCCACCTGAATGAGACTGCAATAAGCAGGCATGGCAGAATCTGCAGGTGCTCCTGACCTTCCCTTGGACAACTCAAAAAAATTCTGAACAGACTCCCAAGGAGCCAAGGTGCTCAAAAATTCCTGTAATTCACAGCAGTGAAAATATTGCATTAGTCATCAATATTTGCCACGTTCACATCCCTGCCTCAAGATATTTCCACTAAGCCTGTGCTTGAGAACATGATTACAGTTTATACAGACATATATATATATACACACATATACATTCAAGCCAGGAAAAGTAACCCTGCCCAGCAGGGTTACAGCATAGGAAGAGTGTGGATGTGTTACACTACAGTGAAATCAGCATATACACCCCAAAATTGAAAGACATCATGAAAAAAATTACTTTTAAACCATTTAAAAAAAATGCATCTTTCTCAAAATAGGGTTAAATATGAGCCATGATCACAGAGACTTTCATGACAGAACTAAAATCCTCATAGCCAAAATTCAACTGAACAACAATTCTTACTATTGTTGTTTTAAAGCAATGATGCTCAGTGTGTTTTACAAAAGGGCTGGTTTGGGGAGGAAAAAGGGGAAAAAAGTCTCCCCAAAACCCAGGAACAAGACAAGGTGCAAGTATATTCCAGAAATCTTTGTGAAGCACAGATGCCAAAGATATGTTTTATACACTATTGGACAATATTTACTTGCTGAAACCTTGGTTCTAATATTAAATGCATCTCAAGGAATCTCAATGATATTACACACTTAACTAAGTTAAGATGGCATCAGAAGACATTCAGAATTCCCCCTGTGAACCCCCCAAAAGCACTGAATTATTTTGGCAAGAGTACTCCCAGTTTATACAACAGTGAAGTAAATCTGTTCTACATTCTGTTTCTATATTCTCTATAATCTGCTTTTTATGCCCCATTTCAAAACCAGTCTCTCTATAATGTTTAAATTTTCAGGTTTGCCCTCAAAAAAAACCAAACCAAAAATAAAACAAAACCTCCAACAAATAAATCTGTATTAAATGCTAATGTAGGGGAGAAGTTAAAGTAATGTAAAGTAATATAGCTTGTACTTCATGCATTTTTTTAAAATATGGTATATGACTTTTCTGAATGGAAAAAATGAAAACTCCCTAATGTGGATTAGAATCAGCTGCTTAAGGGAAGGAAATGGTCACACATGATCTCCAAAACAGGATGTGAAAGGACACTGAAAAGGTGTCTTTACATAGCGAGAAATTTGACCACTGCTTGTCTCACAAACTAAAGAAATATATCTAAATAATGCAAAACTCACTAATCTGCTCTTATTTTATTAGAATAAACAGGGAAACCTGAGGTATCAAAACATTTTGTATTTTAAAAGTAAAGTCATAATTTTTATTTCCTCTTGTTTCCTCCTATTTCTCCACCTTTACTGAAATCAGAGACTTGCAAAAAAAGAAGACTGAAATCACTCAGGCCCAAAAAAGAAGGGAACTCCACATAAGATGGGAAAGAGGAGGGGGAAATAAACCATTCTTGTATGAAAACCACTCTTCTGACCCAGTAAAATCACCAGCAAATTAAGGGTAGGCAGCTCAGGCCCTGAGAACTAACTGTGATGTTGCTGACAGCAGCTGGAATTTGCTGTGGTCTGAGTACCTAATAAAAGTTATCGACTAAAAAGAGAAAAAAGGGTAATTTAGTGCTATGATTAGAGATATTTGCTGATCAAATGTTACTCAGGTTTCAAGAGCACAGTGAGTGTTCAAACATGCTGTACTAACAGCAATTCTTTTACAATACAGACCATTGCCCTTCAACAAATATTCTTATGAATCTGTTGTTCCATTTTTGTTTACAAAGACCAGTAACTCTGCTCTGACAGGACTGAATATGGAGAAAGCCAAGCGAAAACTTTTTATTTCCTTCCCCAAAGACTGAATACTTGGAAAATAGTAATAACATTTTCTTACCTCCTTCTCCAAATATACTTTCTTATCATCCAGTGTATTATAAAGAGTAAAAAACTGCTTCGTTTCTTTGTGAGTTGCTGAGACTACAAACAAAACAAAAAAAAGAGGGGTAGAATAATAAAAGAATATGAGGTAAAATGGAATCTGTAAAAATACTCTGTAGACTTTCTATAACATTCTCCACTATCAATAATGGAACAGAGTCACTAATGTACATGCAGAGGGAACATCCTTCCAGAGTTTCTCTCAGCAGGGTTCCAGCTATCATCTCTTATAAGAACAACACAGCTCAGTGTCTAAATTAAGCCCCAACTGCTGACAGCCCTTTCTGCCAACCCATGCTGGCACCATCAGCTGCCTGTTTGTGCTTCCTTCCCAAGCTGTACCCTGCCACTACCCAGGCAGCTGTGCTGCTCACAGTGGCCTTGCCTGGGTTGTTGGAGGGGCACAGCCTCAGCAGGGACAGGGAAGAGCAGATAATTTTGGTAGCACTGTGCGGGGAAAAAAGTGCATTAGACTATAAATGTCAAGCTACACATGTGCAAGATGCCCAACAGAGCTTTTGCTGTTTTGAAGTATTTTTATCTTCTTTATCATCTATGTGTGGTGATAGAATTAATACTTTCTGGTTTAGGTGGTTACAGCAGATGTTGGTCAGAGCTCAGCTGGGAAGGCAAGGCTCAGACATGCCTTCCCACTGGGCCTACAAGATGATACTCAAATCTGCTGAGTGTTCCTCTAGCCTTTAGTTCTTCAATGCCTAAGGAAATCCAATATATTTCTGACTCCCAAGGAAACAGTTCAACAGGCAGCAAAAGTAATTCTGGCTAGAAACCACAAGCTGGAAAAAATGTATGGGTTAAAAATGATAAACCTTGGTGAAATCTTGCTCATTAGTCTGGGATTTGCAGAACTGCTGCCAAATGAAAGAGGCCTTTCCCAAACCATTTCCTTCATGCATCCCCTTCTGCTCTTCCAGCAGCTCTGGTAGTCACAAGTCTTTCAAGAGTGGATTCCACAAAACAACTCAGAAAACCTCTCAACATTTCACCTGTGTTGGAAAGTTGTGCCAGCTTATGGAACACACCAGAACCCATGCAGGGTAAAACAAAGGGACAAGAGGAAGAAGGAACCAATTGGCTCATTGATTCTCTTAAACATTTTCAAAGGAAGAGACTCAGTTAGGTCAAAACCAAAACACTGAATATTGTAACTGAAAAGGATTCTGGTACAAAAATCACAAAATCACTAATGTTTGAGGTTAGTGCTGAAGCGTGTCCTGTCCAATCCCTTGAAGCAAAGTTCAAAAAAACCATGTTTTGGCAACTGAAGATAACCTGAATCTGGCTAAATGAGAAGCCTCTAAGTACCTCTAAAAATACAATAATTCACAGAAAAAGTTGCTACAGATTTCCACCTCATTTCTCTAGAAGCTTAGCCTGTGCAATGCAATGCAATGTTAATTAAGAATGAAAGAAACCAATCCCCTCAAGAGAATGTTTGTACTTCTTGACATAGTTTGGTTCAGAATCAGTTACATCATGCCAGTGGAAACAATAAAAACAATCTAATGGTAAGGCAAATTAATTAAACATGATTCAAACTTACAGCAATTCTCATTTGTAAATGGTGAATTAAGGACTTTCAGAACATACTGGCCATTAACCTAAATGATAGAACCTGCTGCGGACAAAATTTCGTCCAGAGATCTTGTGCACTGAGTTTAACCCTCAGGAAGATTCTTAAAGCCCAGCTTACAAAACCTCAAAAATATGATGTGTAACATGAATACCAAAAACCTTTAAAATACCAGCAAATGAGTAGGTGCTGTTGTTACGTGCCATAAGTTTAAAATGCAACTGCCCTCCTTCCAGGGCTTTAGCCTTCAGCAGGATGGTCCTGCTTGATATACATACCCTGACTGTAAAGTTCAATAAATCTCTTCTGATACTGTGTGAGCTCAGCTCGGCTGGGTACTTCATCAATCTTGCGCTGTAAAATGGCTATTTCTCTGTTTCTTCGTGCCTGAATAGAAAGTTAGGAGGGGAGAAAACAAAGCCTCTTCTTGTTCTCTTCTTAAAATGGATGAAGCCCCCCCAGCAATACTTTGTTATTAAATAATTGATTTTAAAAACAAAAAGCTTTGGCTAAGGATCCAATTTTTTTTTTTTGCAATTGATTTGTAACAGAAACACTTGTTAAAATTAGAACAACAAGACAAAGAAGTAGAAGCTACAAGATAAGACAAACATCAGCAATTTTGTACAAGTAAGGACACAAAGAGTAACTCACCAGTAGCAGGCGGATCTTCTGAAGTTTCTCTTTCTCAGCTTTGTACTGCTGTTCTATAATCTTATTTGGCTCCTGAAAGTTGAGAACCCAAAACAATTGTGTATTACAGTAGCATACAAGAGCTGCAGTGCAAAAATGCAGATTTGGTTTGTTTTGTGGTTTTGCCTGCCTGTGGCTCCCACAATATCACCACCATTTGTTTGGGGTTTTTTAAAATAATAATTCATTACCTGTTTTAAAAGCCTGACATTATTTACTCTAAACAAGGGCATTTAGATGGTTTTTAACTTCTGCTATTTTTAAGAGTTATCAATAGCTTTTGCACTGCTTTACACCAGTCACATTTTAAATGAAAATAGAAATCCAAAGATTGTCAGTACCCCTTGTCTGAGTGCTTATACTTTGATTCAGTGGTGGGGTTAAGAATAAACAAGACACCTAAACAGAACATAAACCCTCCGACGTGTGGTCTAAACTTCCTGCAGTGTGAACTTCAAGCTAACTTTTTCTTGATAAAAAAATTAAGAATTCAATTTGCACTTTAATTTTTTTTCATGCTGTGTTGAGGAGGACAGCAGCATCATAGAAGTTGTAATCTGCCTTGTTCCAGAGGTACGAATGCATCAAATGTTTACCCACTGAAAATAAAGTCATTGAAGCTTTTCCTTCTCTGTTCATTCATTATTCATTGCCATCAGTCTGGATGCACTTGTGTTAAAGTCTAACTTCTGACAGCTGCTCACTGCATGCAGTGCACTGAGCCACTGAAAGCTCATGCTTCCATCCTTCAGATAACCCCACTTCTAAGAAAAAAACAACCAAACCAGACATTCTTTGTGAGGAAGACATGTTTCTGTCAGAGATAAGCACAGCTTTTAGCACAACACCCAGAGATTCTTCTCTGGTACTACAAAGAAAGAAGAAAAAGGCACAAAAGCATCTACAAGCAGAGTCCCATGGATTCTGCAAAAAGAACAGAGAATGCTGTTGCTGTTTGCAGACTCCTGTATTTCTAGGACTATTAGCTTGAACTATGGCTTTACAGAGCTTTTTAAATTTCCCAGCAGATACTTTAAGGCTTACCAGAACGTTCCAGAAGTCAGAAAGACTTAAACAAACATTCCCAAATGCAATCTGAAAATTGGAACTTGGACTTTTGCTATTACCTGTTCCTCCCCATCTTCCGCTGCTTCAGCTTTCAGAGTCTCAATATTTTGTTGTAGTCTCTCCATTTCTTCCTTTAAAACAAGAAAAAGTTGATTTATTTTTGATTTTTTTTTTAACTGAGACCTCTTCTCTTAAGAGGGGAGGGAAGAATCTTGACAACACAACTTCTAACAAAATTTCAGAGCTGACCACACACATAATATTTAAATTTGGAAGATTGAACAGCATTCCCTGCTTAAGGGTATTAAGGAAGGCCACACCAGCTCGGATCCTTCCTCACTCCTCCCTGATCCAGGGGTGCTAATATTCACCACAAACCTGGAGTTAGCAGTACCTGGGGGTGTGGGACAGACGACAGACAGGCACACACAGCACAGCAACACACCAGGAAAGAGCTTATTTACCAAGTTTTAAATGAATCCTTCTAGGAGACGCTGGAACTTACCCTACAATGTGCTTTGAACTCTCGCTCCTGGCTTTTTAGGTTTTCATTCATGGCCACCAGTGCTCGCAGACTCTGTAATATGCTAAATTTGAAGATCCAGTAAACTATGTTAGATTTTTAGTTTCTAATTTAAACAGATTGAAAATTAACATATATTAAAACAAGCTTAGTTCTAAATAAATTTACAATAAAACCTGGGTAAATTAAAACCAAATATCAGCACTGATATACCAAGGTCAAAATAAAGATGGAGTGTTACACTGAATTTTCTGATGGCTTTGTTATGTTTTAACCTCATTATTGTGAAAGTTTTGAGAGCCTTCTATTTAATTTATGTGAGATGAAGGCTTCAAATATGAACAAAATAAATCCAGAATGCATCATCTACTTGTCAGATGTGTCTAGGGTTCTTCTGCTTTAAACACCTACAATTATTTTGAACTACAGACTGACACTTTTCATTCTGACTGAATCCTACTGCAGTATTTCCCTGTCTCTGGAAAGCAAGCTGGAGAATAATTTAATTTTTAAACTTTAGTTATTTGTTAAGGCTGACAAACCAAGAAACATTGAATGATTAATTTTAAAACCATCATTTTTCAGAATTTCAAAGATAACAAAGGAAGAAACTTACCTAGAATCTGCTTGGGATTCTATTGTTTCTAAGGCTGCCAATTCCTTGTCCAGCTTTTCACTGTAACTCTTAACCTAAGGGTTACAATTAATAATAAATTAATACTAAATTGATTGATAATAAATTGACTTTCCCACACCATGAGATCAGTGAGTTAAGCTGGCGAACACCTTCAGTGTTTAATATATCCCTTCACAAACAAAATTTCTCAAAAAAGTTTCAGCTACAAACAACACAGAAAAAAACAAAGATTACCTCTGCTAATGTCTTTTTTGCTTTGGTACATTTTGCCTGCAGATCAGCACATTTAGCTTGCAACTGTTACAAAAGACAAAAAAAAAAAAAAGAGTTGGATCTGTTGGATCTATATTCACACTAATTACACCTGTAATGGAGAACAGAGAATATTTGAGCTGCTCATAATGGTTGTCTGTCAAACAGCAGGCCAAGCATAACAAACACTGTCTTTTCCTGTCAGCTACTCCTGCATCTGATGGCAAGAATTCTGACTGAATATTTAATTACTAATAGCAAACATTTACCGCCTGATCCTTTAGGTGTATAAAGTCCCAGAATAAACAACAGCTTTTCCAAAATAGAGGCCAACAGAATGGTGACTTATTGGACAGAATCTCTGCTAAACTGCTCAAACTTTTCTAGCCTGGTTGTACTGGCCTACTTTCACACCAAGCTAAGAATGAGTCCCATTTTACACTTCTCCAGATAAGTCAGGGCAATTCAAGACTTGCACAGAAGCACCATGGCACCAAAGCACAGACACTTCCACACCAAATAACCAAGCTGCTTTATGGTTTTCTTCTACGTAACTATGAAAAGTCTAACAAGGCAGTGAGCAAAATATGTATCATAAACAAATATTAGATATTTCACTTGCCAATTAATTTACAGAAGCTAATTTTAGAAGAACATCCTTCTTTAAATTTCTCATGATTTAAGATTGCAAAGAGTAACAACAAAAATAGGACATGGTTTACAAAAGTGGAGCAAAAGTGAGCAAACAGGAAATGCACATGTAGCTCAGTTCCACCCCCTTTCATGTTGCTTTTAGTTTGCTATTCACATCACAGAGCTGTGACTTAATGCTCCACTCTTCCCTTTCCAAAGCCAAATTTATAAAAACAAAGATTTGTTTTTGTTTTTCATAATTTTTCACCAATAATTCACCGATAGATTTTATTCTAAGTAACTGAAAAAAATTTAAGTCTGCAGTCTACATCTCATGAAAACTGAGATGAATTGCTAGTTTTGAGAAATCTTGCCAAAACTTATTGCAGTATTGAAGCCAGAACTCCATAAATATTTTTCAAAAGACCGGGTTCTTGACTGTCACTGATTTCAAAAGCTGCTTTTGGCAAGTGGTAAATGAAATTCAGCCAGGAAATTCTTACTTTAGTAAAGTGATAAAAGGATTATATTTGGCTTACAGCTGTCAGTACATTTTTTCCCCATATAAAAACAGCACTGAGATTGTTATGCACTGAAAACAAGCTGCACAGAATTAAAGGGCCCTCAACTGTTAAAATGGCAAAATCATGGTCCTTCCCAAAATTAAGGCTGAGCTAACTGCCCCACGAACACAAAGAACACAACCTGTTCTCACAATCCAAGGGCAATGCAAGCAAGACATTCAGAGAAATCGGTGGTCAGCATGACAAGTTGCTGGTGCAGAAGATGGCTTGCAGGTATTTTCTGGATGGCAAAAACTTTGTGATCAACCACTTTTATCAATGTTTTCTTCTTTACTACACACACTATATTTACCTCTTCGAGGAGTTTGGTTTTCTGCAAAATCTGCTTGTTGAGAGATGCCACCTTCCTTCTGTGCTGCTGGGCAGCTCCAAGCCTTTCTGGTCGCTCCTCAGCAGAAAGCTCAGATTGCTGAAAAACCAATAACATTTGGACCTCACAGCATTGTTTTCTGCTTCTCCAGAAGCTCAGGAAATACCAAAGTGGGACACACCTGTGATATTCCTCATCAAGAACTGTGTCCCACTATCCAAAAGAATGACTCACATCAGAATGATTTACCTCATATCAAAATAATGAAGCCGCTGAACAACTAAATTATATTCCAAAATTTACAAGTAAAGTAAGCTAAAAAAGTCAGTTGCCCTGGGACAGGTGGAAAATACCGCAGTGCACTAGAAGATAGACAATTTTTTTGCATCAGCATTATGGTTAAACCTGGTAGAGTTCTTCAATGGAAAAAATACAAGCATACTAAAAACCACCTTAAGCTGCGGTAACTTGTTGAATCAGAGATGTTCCACACCCCAGCAAGTAGCTCCAGAATTTTCAGAAGCCTTGAACAATAGTGTATTCTGAAATAGAGGCTTGGATGCATCTCCATGCTGAATGACAATGGCATACTCAGTGTATGTAAAAAACTCTGGGGTTTTTTATGTGTGAGCACATGTATTGCTGACACCAGCCTCTGAGAACTACTCAGTCCAGCATGCATTGCCAGGAGCATCTCATAAATGTGTAACAGAGACAGCAATATGGATCTAGACTCCTCTTCTCTCTGAATTGTGAAAGCAAAGCTGACAGAAACATTCTTTACAAAAAATAACATTTAGAATAGAAATTGTATATTTGCAGTAGACAAAAGAATCATTAAAAACCAGTGATATCTTGATCTCTAAGGGATTATTTGCCTAAAAATTAATTGTACCTTTTGAAAGTCTTCACTTTGATACTAACATCCATCTGTTTTTGTAATTTGCTTCATGCACTCAGATTTCTTTTTTTCACTTAATCCATTTTCCAATATTTCACTACAAAATCAGTTAATTTTCAAGTACCTCAAGTGCTAATTTATAGTCTGTCAAAGACTTCAATACTAAGTGCTTTTTGAATAATTACCAAATGCTGACAACTGCTACAATGCATAATCAGCTAAAATGCTACAAGAAGTGTGATATACTCTTCACTCCTATTTGCTCCTGGTTCCACTCCAGGCAGATGGGTAAGCAGCTTAATTTTAAATGAAAATAAGAGGCAAAGCCTGTATTCCTGCTCTACATTTTCTATGTAATTCGTATTGAAGAGCAGCTTAATGATCTGTTCTCTTTTTACATCCACAACAAGAAAAGATCAGTTCTGATGGCTCAACCCAACAATTCAGAAGCTTTCTCTGCTTTTGTTTTTAGGAAGGGAAGAAATTACTCTAAGCAACACCTGTGACCCTGAACTACTCAACAAATATACACTCAGTCTTACTTATTCCTCTCACCATTTAGTCAAATCACATTCCTTCATCATGTTATGCATTCCAAAACCTTACCCTTCTCACCACAGATTTAGCCTCTTACATGCATAAGATACAAATGGAGAAAAATGGAAATGCAAGAGAAAGAAACATGAGGTAAACCAGTCTGAGACTAATGTTTGCAGAAATAGTAAAAATCCATGTAGTACAGCTTTGGCATTAAAAAAAAAAAAAAAAAAAGTGGCTCATATTTCAAGAAGTGAACTTTATATCTTGCTTTTGGAAAATGGGAAAGAACAATCACTAATGTCTCTGACTGTTGAAAGATGATCAATTTGCTACTCATTCATAATTTTCTGCCAGTATTTTCAGAAGGTGAGGAACAACACTACAATCCTTCCTTCAGTTCACCCAGCAGGTTAACATGGCAAAAGAATGGAGGGGCAAATGCAGAAAATTCTAAGCACAGATCTTATGCAAAAATGCCTTTGTAAGAAAGGTCCTGGACCATGGCAACATCAGACCTCGAATTTGGCTTGTCAGGTATCTCTACTGGGCTGTGGTAAGATGAAACTCTGGTAAACAAATAAGCACTGCTGTGTTTCTCAGGTTATGTACAGTTACCAGGGGCTAAGACTATTAGAATTATATCCAAACATTGCTGATGCTTCAATAAACCCTTTGATAACATCCTTAATTCTCTTCCTGGTGCATGCATACGTGCACAGAAGTTCTATTTTTTTATCACATCCCACAGATTTGAAAAGTGATCTATTTTTGGTTTGACTTGAATCAGTTCTTACTTTTCAGAGTATTAATCATAGCTCTACTATAATAGTCAAGGTCCTGCTCCCTTCTCTCAGAACAGAAGAATTGTAACATTGAAATATGACCCTTGGGCTTCTGTTCTTCCAATCTTTTATAATAAAGAAAGGCCAAGAATTTGCTGTTGAGCTATAGGGTTTATCTCCAAAATGGGAAAGCTCCATACCTCAAATGTGTCAACAAAAAGGAAGAAATATGAGAAGACTATTGGACAAGTAAGAGCGACCTATAACTCATATCTGGCAGTGATGTATTGGATGCATTAATTGCTTGAAGAGCCAGATTTTCTTTTCACATTACTGCAAAAAATAATCACAGCTGAACACAGTAACTGGAGCAAACACACACATTTAATTGCTTTGACTTCTCAAAGCAACAAAGGTTTGGGTTTGATGAGATGAGATTCAAAACTTGAGATCCAGGGCATGGCTGACAACTGGAGTCCAGTGCAAACATCTGGAAATCTGAGTGGAGGAGGCATAGACTTTTCTCTGAGCAGGCCCACAGAGCTGTATTTCTGTGCTTAACACTGAACATTTTAAAGCACATCAAGAATTTAGGCCTCTAGTTTGAATAGATACAACTCAGGCCCCTCTTCATCCATGAAAGCATTCAGGCAGGTGCTTAAAGCACATCAAGAATTTAGGCCTCTAGTTTGAATAGATACAACTATACTCGGGCCCCTCTTCATCCATGAAAGCATTTAGGCAGGTGATTAAACCCAAATTAGTCACAAATGCAATTTAGGGATATGTATTATCACACCAAAAGCCTGGGTATGTTTAACTCTGAACTCTGCCTGTGCTGCTGCCCACAGCATGTATTAAATAGTGTGTTTCAAGAGAATCATGGCAATGAAGTTGGCAGCTTCAAGCCTAAATTAAAAAGCTATCAAACACCATGTTGTTAAACCCACTCAGGTAACATACTTACCTTCTCAGCATATTCAGACACAATTTGCTTGATCTCATCTGACTGGAGCCCAACAATCTGGCCAACTGTGCTTGCTGTCAGCTTGCCCTGCAATTGTAGCAAGAAAATTCTTGGAGCTTTGGAACTGTCTGCACTTTTACATGATAATTTCCAGTAAGTTCTAATGCTAAACAGAAATTTGCACAATAAGTAAAAATCCCTAATCATAAGAAAAGTCCGGGAAACATTCTACCCCCCAAACCTAATTTTGCTGATAGAAATGCCTCACTTAAATCCTTTTAGCAACTTTTTATTCATATTTCAGAAACGAAATTTTTATTCTTTATACTGAATTTTGCATTTGCTTAATAAACCTCTAAGCATCCAGACATGTGCAAGAATTCACCTTTAAACTGCATGCATGTATAAAACCAGTTTTCAAACAGAACTGAATTCTACAATGGATTTCAGTAGAAAGCATGTCAGCTAACTCTAAGACTAGACTAATTATTACCTTTCCTTTAATGACTCCAGCATAAACAGAAACAATGTTTAACAACTGAGATTATTTCCAGTCCTTTCACCCAGAAATCAAAGAACAGACTACAAGTTCCATTAGATCATTAACCACAACAAATTAAGAAAAGAAGATACATATCCAGTATTTTCTGTCTCTTAGACTAATGTTGTTGTATTTATAAGTGCTTTGAAAAGAACCTTGAAAGGCACAGTTTTCCAGCACTCTCCCCAGCAATCCTCTGAATAATTTCACAAGATGAATAAAGTAAGACAGTGCATCTTGGGTAGCTACAGAGCAATGTCTTTCCCCTGAAATTCTTGTAGAAACCACTTAAAATAGGCATTTATTTATATTGTTATTATCATTTCAAGGCAAATGATGAACTAATTAGCCCTGTAAAATTTACTGTCTTCCTAATTCAACCATTTTTATGCACTCTTCTTATGAAAATTTAAACACAGTCATTCCATGACTTCAGACCTGAATCAGCAGCCTGATTTTAAGAATCATTACCACAATTAACCATAATTTAAAGAAAGCTGTATCAGTTTTAAATGCTACTGACCTCTTCTGTTGCCATTGCAGCCATTCCAGTCATCAGAGTTTTAATGCGAAGCTACAGCAAAACACGAAGAATTATAGCAAACAATTTAACTTCTATCATTTTGTTATGTTTCTGCCAAGGACACATACATATAATTAGTATCATATAATGTGTATTTTAAACATGTATTGGGGCCCTAAGTCTATGAAAAGAAGAGGTGGCTAAAGTTACCAAATGTAAGGAAAATTTCTTGTAACAGTAAACTTTCACTCAGACTATTCAGCTCCCACTGTCAACCAAAAATCAACCTTTTAAAAAAATGATCAGATTCAATAAATAACAAAGAGGTTTTGGGTGTTAAACACCAACAAGAATTACTTTTGTGCATCAATTTCAGGCTCTGTATTCTCCTGTGGGAAGCACTCTCACTTCAACTGACCATGGAAATTTTCCTTCTTTTGGAGAACAACTGGGCAGCAAAAATTGCTGCTCTCCCCCAGGTTAGTAACTCCCATCCCTACTGTGCCTGGGGCTCACCTCTTCAGCAGCCTGAAGGTCATCTTCATCACAAGGCTCAGCTTTCCCTGCTGCTGCAAGCCCTGGAGGTAGCACTGCTTTTTTATCTTCAGCCTTCTGAAGAAAAATTGAGACATTATTATAACTAGTTCCAATATTATAAAGTGTTAAGAAAGACATCAAGGAGGAAACTGGAATGTCGCTGTTCTGTTTATATGAATATGTTTCAGCTACTGGAACATCCTCACCCTACAAATCATGCCAACTGAAATGTAAGCCTTCCTGATTTCTCACAAGTCTTCCAGCTGTGTCTCTGGCTTCCTATGGACTTATGTGGTCTGAAGATTCCTTATTCCACAGCCTTCTGAGAGCTACCAACCTCAGGAGACAACCCAGAATATGATGCCTACTACACAGGACAAGACTGAATTTTTTTAAAAAATAAATAGTTTTTACAACTGAATATTGGTGTAACAAACATGCAACATAAAAATTGCAAACATGTCTGGTTCAGTTAGAAGAATTTGTACCACTGAAGTAAAGAGAACTGGGGACAGCCAGACTCAATTTCTAGGTCAGCCTACCACACCACAAACAAATTTCACTGTCCACTTGGGCCTCACTGGAAGCTCAGGTTCCACAACAATCATGATGAACATCTAATATACAATATGCCAAAAGTAACAGAATTTCTGAAGAAACAAAATGGACTCTACAAACATGACTAGTGGTTACTCTGAGGGGAAAACAGGCATGCCTAGATTGGGAAATATCTCCATTTATAAAAACTCAAATGTGACATTTGTATGTGGAATATTGAGATAATGAAGAAGAGCAACTTTAATCTATGCAATGTATTGTTGGGTTCATGATGTGTTTAATGCATTACCTTCATTATCTCTGTAATAAAAACTTGAAGCTAAATTAATATCTGTACTAAAATAACAAAACTGCAAGTACCCTGCATTTTATGGACATTTTAAGATGCCAGAATGATCAAAAGCACAGCAAGGATGCTAATTTTCAAGAAGGACAATAATTTATTTATACTTTTATTTATTTATAGGTTTATCAATCACATTAAACAAAGTGTTTTGCAATAAATGTCTACAATATTTCTTAGCAAGTCAAATGGTTCTTTAAAAAGAAAAACCTTTTAATGATCACATTATGGAACACTCAGTTATAAGATACTAAACAGACAATATATATACCTTTCATGGCATGCAGATTTTTTAATTGCAGTTAGCCATTTTTAAAATCTGTTAATAGTAGAAGTTATAGTTGTCTATTCTGCTGTATTCTTTTAGGATTCAACAGTAACCAACTCTTCAACAATGCAGTTCTTCCCACAATTTGAGCATTTTAAATTAGTATATTTTTTACCTGTTCTGTTTTTCCTGCTTGTCTGCTAAATCCATATCTCCTAAAAGAATAATAGTAACATGAAGGAAAAATACTGTTATTTATGACTTCCACAAATACATTAAGTTTTTATCAATTTTCAAAATAAGATATGCACCAACAGCCAGGATCAAATTAGTTTTGAAATGTTTCAAGTAAACCAAATAAGCAGGTACTGGAGCATATTTACAGAATGGTTTCAGATCTATCATCTGAATATTCCATATTCCTCCCATCAAGATTTGCAAATCTTGACTTTCCATAAAATACTGTCACATAGACCTCATAAGAGGAAAAAGCAATGCCCTCTTCCCATTTGAAAGCTAATCCTGAGCTATTACACTACAGTCCATGTTACTGTTAAAACAAAGTACTCAAAACAGTGAGACAATCTTTTTCAAAGATGTAACCCCAAAGTGGAGATTTCAAACAGGTACAAATTGATAGAGGGTGAGCTAACATGTAAAACAGAATACATGTCTCACTGGAAAGGCAACTGTTTCTAGTTGGAGTAAATGACTCATTGTAATTAAAAAACCCAATCAAAACACGGGGAACAACACTTTAGAAACTGTAATTGAAATTTCCAAAGCAAGGACAATTATTCAAATAAATTAACAAAGGAGTTACATTGGTCATCACCTGGAGACTTTCATTGCAATGTTATTCTACAAATACATGCTGTAATTCAACCACATGTAGCAGGCTTAGCAGCACTCAGGTCATTTGCACAGAAAAACAGCTACCTCCCTCCAAAACCTGACAAGAGAGTAAGGTGACTTGTCTGGCCCATCACACAGCCTCTCATGTGGCTCCTTACACCAGCACTGAGCACCCCATCTATGCATGAAGAACTCAGGGTGCCTGGCTACAGCTGTCTGAAAAAGAAGCGATTTTCTCAGGAGAGCAGGGTTTCACTTTCTATTGAAGAGCCTTGAAAATGTCCCATTCAAAGCAAACCCAGATTTCTCCTCTCTTGTCAAATGCTGCCCTGGAATTTATCAAGATGGTCCAAAACCCCCCAAAGCAGTAGCAAACTGCTGTGAGTCAGAAATGGTGAATTGATGGTCCCAAGCAAAGAGGGAAATTAGAAAGCAAGGACAGAAACTCCAGCTGCCAGCCAGACAGCTGAATTCAGGTATGACAGTGAGAGAGCCTAGGTATTTTACTGTTTTACCTCTCTGTAGCATTCATGAACAAGCTTTCAAGAAATAGATACAGCTTATCCAAGAGTTAGAAGATTTGCACATGAACAGGAAGAACACAAGTGAGACCACCTTTCCTAACCAACATCTGCTACTTGAAGAAAACATTCCTGAAGTAGGGTGTTGACTTTCATTGTTAACACAAGAAGTGAAAAAGTCAAGTTCTGAAATGCAGATAATTGAGATCATCACCACATTAACTAATTTCAAGACAAATAGCACAACTGCTGATAGCTTCAAACACACATTTAAGTCTGCTGAGGGTTTAATAGTCTGTAAGCTACCCTGTGACTTTTGTTTGATAGTGTGGGATTCCATACAGCCCGTGCAGGCAGTGGATATGGTTTATCTCCTCATACAGTGCACACCTATCAGTGTGGTATATATTGGCATTTGAGACCTGTCTCAAGTATTAAGACCAACTTAATTGGGATCTTCTCATGAGAAAACCCAGCAGTGCACACCTATCAGTGTGGTATATATTGGCATTTGAGACCTGTCTCAAGTATGAAGATCAACATGTAACTTAATTGGGATCTTCTCATGAGAAGACCCAATTAACCCAGAATTAACCACCTCCATTTCATTACTAAAACCACTCACTTGGCCATAAAAAAAGGAAATCTAACATACTTACACAGATATCAGTAACCGTTTTGAGTGCCTTCTCTTTTCTTTGCATGAATTCATCATCCTGAAAGACATCAGTGGAGGTAATTAAAAATGCCAGGAGTGGAGACTAAATTTCAAACATTCTAATGATTCTGTGAAACAAAGCTGTCAAACAGTTTCTGAGTTGCCCAGTGATTTGGTGAAATGTTAGTCATTTTTTGCTGTAACAAGACAAGCACTTGCTTCTGTCGTCAGATGGGAGAGGGGTCAGCAAGACTCTGTTCAGATCAGCAGCCTGGCTGCTTTCTCCTCACACAGTACCTGATACAAAAGCAGTCCCAGCCCACTCCTGGGATCTCCAATCTTTAATACACTATTAAGAAATGAAGCTGGGATAGACTTGATGTGGAAACGGGAAGTTTCCTCTACTGTTTAGTTTCTAAGCATTAAAGATAGTAATTAAAAAAAATCAAAATCAAAACCACCCCAAGTTAATAAAATCTGTCTATCCCAATACTAGGGCCATCTGCCTTTAATCCTGTTACTAAGGGACAACACTTGGGTAGTAGATATTAAAAATGGAATTGTCTTGTGATATGTAAGAACAGAACTGATGGCTTTGCACTACAGGCACATATCCAAGCTCATTAAATCTCTCCTCCTCTACCAAGGAAACTTCATCTCATTGCTGAAGAGCAGTTCAGTTATTGCATGAAGTTTTTTACAAATCTAGTTTTCAAGAACGAATTTTGGGGTTTGGATACAGAAAGACAAGAGCTGCCTTTCAGCACTGTGAAAGAAACCCCAAATTACAGAGTATTAACAGCATATTAGTTCTTACTTAGCTACATTATCCTCTCCACAGCATGCTGGGTGTTTCTGAACAGTTAGAATGACACAAAATTACCAAATACTGCAGAAAAACTAAGGCAATCATTGGGCAAAAGTTAACCAGAATCTACAAAATTTCTGTCACAATAACGCTTCAATTTTTTTCCAGATAAATTTGTAAGAGATTCCTTTAACGCTCACTCACAAAACAATGGCACTTTACTCTGGTAAAGTGGGCAGATGTCAGAGCTGTGAGGCTGGTACTGCAACTGAAGATCTGACATATAACAGAAACAAGAAATGCCTTGATCTCACCTCTGGCAGCCTGTGAGTTTTTTGAAACTGTGATATAGAGTAAGAACGGACATAATCTCCCATTTCTTCCCTTGTTTCTATTGCACGTTTCACCAGCCACTGAAAAAAAAAATTGTATTAGCTGAAAACAAAAGAATAACAGCAGCAAGCACCAAACTCTGCCTAATTATTTAATACATGATAAAAGCTAAAAGCACATTTTTAAGCATGGAAACAAGAGCATGTGATTTATTTGTAAATGTGGCAACTCTTTGGCCTAACCCTAAAAAAGCTACTTTATAAACATTTTTTTTCTTTTGTGCATATGTTTCTTGTATGAAATTCTCCTACTGTAGATCACTCACTGGTTTAAAAGACTACAGCTCCACCAGGAACAGACAGATTTTCAAGCCTATGAAGTGCTCATGAAGAACCACATGCCTGTGCAAGAAAAAAGGCTTCTTCTGACATTTATAAGACCACACAAAAAGCCACAAAATACTGAAGTACATTTTAAACAATGTTGGAGAAGATAAATCTTGCAGGCTGTTGACAGCCTGTGCAGGAGGTCACAGAAGAGATGAGATCAGTTGTGGGATCCAAGTTTGAACCAACAACTGTTTCCTGTGCTATAACCATGAACCCCTGGAAAGTGAGGGGAACATGATGACAAGAAGAGATGAAAATGAAGAATATTAATTACCAAGAACATCTCAACACAACACTGTGTATATACTTTTGCCTGTGATCATATGCAGAATTTATTAGGAAGAACAGCGACATTTCTGCCCAATGGAATATTTGTTAGTTTTTTTAAATTTTTTTTTTTTTAATTTCTGCTACAGTCTATGGCAGTGAGCCAGCTTAGCCTAACTTCTTCCTGTAGGGAAGGATCCATCTAAATTCTTGCACAGTGCAAGAGATAATGGGACACAATGTCAGACTTAAGAGCAAGCATTTGTAGTATTTGAAAATTGATTTGAGATTTACAGATAGCAAGTGGAATCTTGATTTTAACAGGGCACTGAATAAAGTGCCATTATCAAATACATAATTCCTACACGGTGTAGTCAGCATTTTATATTTTGCATGGTCTTTTTCAGAACACAGTATTCTGGTGACACCAACAAGTTTTCTTGAAAGTCTGTCTTGGCTGGGATGAAATCAGGAACTTGCAGTATGTGGAGCAAGCAGAACTTCACAGGGACCTGGCAGAAAGCCACAATTTTTCAACCAAGATCCTCTCTATGCCAAAAACTAAGCCCATCAAAAAAGACTTGTATGGGTCAGCTCTACCACCTACTGGCCAGCTACAAATACTGAGTCACTGCTTTTGGAGAAACCCAGAAGCAGATTTCCTCCCTCTTTACAATTCATATTTCTCCTTTCCAGAAGTAATATCCCAAACCAGGATTTGGGATAAAGCAGGTGAGAGAAAAGAACACCTAGTGCTACTGTTTTTACAGGAGGAGGAATAGATTTCCTATGAAAGAAGCCTAGTGTCTGATAAATGTAACCATTCATTGCCATCAAGCGACCAGGACAAGAAACTCAACTGGCTTGATTTTTTTTTTTATTTCTGTGTAGGAAATAAGGGTTCAGAAGCAAAAACATTATCAAGATACAAACTTTCCACTTTAAGCAGCATCACCACAGCCTGAAAGCTGTGTAAGAGTAGCACACACCACAGAATGTTTTGTGTGGAGTGCTGTTTAGTGTGGTTTTCCTTGGCAGCTTCCAACTAGAAAATAAGAGGAAAGAGCACCAGGAAGTTTTCCCCACTTCTTACAGACTAAAATTTAGATTCTTCTTACTTGCTAAATTCCTTCACAGGCATGAGGTAAGGAGATATTTAATGGAAAAGAAGCTTGCTTAACAGTCTTCATTTTCGCTATCTGTCAAAGATACCTTTCTGTGAGCAGATGAAAGGAAAATCAAAAAATGCCAAGGATTCTCAAAATACCACATGTAACTGGAACACATCAAGTGTTAGCTTAAATCTTAATAAACTTGAGAAGGAGGCACATGTTGAGTTAGTGGTGCTCAACAAATACACAGTAAGAGGATCACTCGTCAGAACACAGTTTTTAAGTGATAGGAAATAAGGATGAATTATGCTTAAAGAAATGACCCCAACGACTTTTGCCTTAGTCATATCCTTCTGATTCAAGGTCTATCTGCATAACTTACTCCATAAGCTTAAACACAGACTGGAAGGTATTTGTTCTACTTCCTAGTCTGCCAAAGCAGACTATCAGATTCCACAACAAGATTAAACTTAGGTTTCTTTAAGGAGGCATTCCACAACAGGCACAATCTGACTCCACTGCAAAGAATTCAGAGAGTTTGTTTTGTTTACTTTCTAAATGTGGATCAAACAATACTCAAGAATTCTATCATCCATAATATCCCTTCATTCTTTAAAAACATTAATTCAAACTACTTCTCTGTGCTTATTTATTCCGCAGTTAAATAAAGAGCCAAACATTAATTCAAAGCTTTGTTCTATTTTTTATGCAAGTTTTATGGCCTTTTTCAGCAATGTATCAATATACCATGAAATTATTACCTGTATAACAGGAAATATATGAATGAAATCCAGTCCCTGGATCTGATGTGGTTCCAAACGATGTGGACACTTCATTTTTGGCAATACTGACACGATTTTTTCAGTTAAGGCACTATTATAAAAACAACAAAAAGACAGATGTATATATGCTACAATTTTCTTTTCTAATTACGGATTATTTTTCAAAACACAGTAGTTCAAAGGTTCCCTCCAGTAACTTCCACTATATATAATGAAAAGCAATCCAACTCACTTACAAAACAGCTTTTACAGGCACTATTTATATAATCAGTCTGTGAAGAGGTGATTAAGCCCCATTTACAGGCTCCTACCTTGGAAATTCATTTAACTACTACAGAAAATTTCAAGATCTGCATGTCTGGACAGATAAAATATCTATATAAAATACACCTACAAACACCTTTGCATCTTATAGGGTACACTCAACATGAAGAGACAGTAGCTTTAAGATCAGTTACATTAAGTAAGAAATGTGCTCCCCAAGGAAGTCCAGAAGCAAATGTAAGGACTTAAAACTTATTTAGCAGAACTCTCAAAATAAATATTGATGTTACTCCTGAAACTTTTTTAATTTAAATACATAGTGCACTTAAAAGCTAAATACACAGTGCACTTCACATACTTTTCAAGTGACTAAAATTGAATTTGCTGGCAGCAATCTCATTCTAGAGCTCAGTAAGAGCTGGTTAAGTGAAAGGATTACCCTGCCACAAGAGATCCATCTGCAAGAAATTCATCCTGTTTCAACTGAATACCTAATTTTAGGGCAAGATTTTTTTTTTTTTTTTTTTTTTTTGCTGCCAATGTTGGCAAGTACTTTTTAAAACAGGTGTAACCACTGAGGATGAGAACCTTACTTGGAAAACCAAAGCTATTTCCCCACGAAAGAAAAAAATGAACTGATCCAGTACTGACCTACTGATATTTAGTACTGTCCAAATGGACAACTAAGATCCCGGAAGAACAAAAGGGGATCAAGAGGTATGAGACAGTGACCAAAATCTGGGAAAAGAACTTGAAACACTTTACTTCCTAAAGAGAAGTGAAGCACAATCAAAGCAAATGCAATTAAAAAAAATTATTTATCCAATAGATACAAGATCCTCTACTAATGTATGCTTCCATGCTTATTTCAGCCCAACAGTTAAATAACAGGACACCATCACAATGGTGTAACACCATCACTTTGGAATAATACTGAGAAAACACAGCTTAACTTTTCTTTATCTTGAAAACACCACAGAAGCCCTGAGCCTCTACCAACACAAACATTACATGGACATCAAAACAGCCTATGCTCCTATGTTCTGAACACTTTAGATTTACAAATAAATCATTGTTGCTGTTTTGGGAGAGGAGCCTGGTTTTTGTTTTGCCAGTTTTGCATTCAATCAGCTGGAAAAATAACAGAACATTTTGAGAACAACTTAACCATTTCCTACCCTGTTGTTCTTAGAGATATAAAAAAGATTAAAAACTACCATTACCATTTTAATTCCTAGTCTCTACTCAATTCTTTGCACTCAGCAATGCTTTATGTAGTTATTTATCTATGATGATTTGAGTGTCTCCAAATGCAATTGCAATACCCACAAATATTTATTTTGAAAAGCCTTGCCAAAGCTCTATGACTTTCAAGAAAACACAGAAAGATGTTCTTTTTAACTGCACCAAGTAAATAAGTCTCTTCATGCCATTGTAACTTGTCAGGCTAAACTTATTTCCCAAAAATTTTAATTACAACTCTTTTATCACAGACACACATAAAGAAATAATGGAGTTTAGAATGTATTGCCTTTCCCAGCATAAACAATGTCTATAACCTCCCTGGCACAGGAATTAGCTGGCTTATGAGCAAATTCCATGAATAAGAAATGAACCAAAACACAATGTTCTCATTGGGTCACCCTGAGGAAGGAAATCCTCCTCCTCAGTATGGGGCAGGTAACTATTTTGGCAACATGCTTTAAAGTCTGTTTGCTGATGCCTACAATTCTAACCCAGAGCCACAAAAGGGAGTCAGAGGTTATTTACACAGCAGAACTGCAGACACAGGGAACTCAGAGAAGGTCTTCTAATGTTGCACTCCAGCTTCCAGCAGCGTGGTCTCCCTCTGCCCTTTGCTTTGGCCTCTGCAATATCCCCTTGTGCCAGCACAAGCATCTGTACAGCTGCACAGAGAACTGGATCCAGGAATTCATTCATGTTAAAAGTATTCTACTTTTTTTTCTTATGGGTTTTGGTTTTTTGGGGGTTTTTTTTTGGTAGGTTTTAATTTGGATCAGTTCCTAATTCAGTTCAGTGTGGAGCCACATAAGCTTAGTAGGGATATAAGAACATGGCAGCCCAAAGGGAAGAGCCCTACCTTTTTTGAACTAATTCTTTCTGGATTTAGAATTTGTGGAACTACAGTCTGAGAAACCTGTGTAATGTTTTGTAAACAGTCCTCAAAAGCAGGAAATTTGAACCAAAACTATTTCTTAGAAACATAGCAGGTAACTTCCCCCTCCCCACCCACTTCTTATTTTCTAAGAAGAAAAATCCCCCACTTGCCATTTAATCAACTTACATTTTTTGACCAATAGTAGAGTTTTCCTGAAATAATAAATCCACGTCGATATCAAAGCTGCAGGTAGTGATACACCACGTCATGCCTCCCACCACCTGGCAAAGGAGCAACACCATGGTCAGGGCCATTTTAAACTGAAGAGGTAAACCCAAATACATCTTCCAGGCTTTATTTATTTTAGAAACTACAGCTCAGTAATCTCACCATCCTCAGTATCCTCTCTGCTCTAAGACAGACTCAGATAACATAACCATACCAACTACATACAGCATTATACACAATACATGTGTACAAGAAGACAGAAACCAACCCAGCAGTTATTGACAACCTAAATACCTCTCTTAGCTTTATATATTAGTTTTGAAACAGCTCTCAGATTGAAAAAAGAAAACTAAACCAACAAACAAATGGATAAAACACAACAGTATGTTAAATGCCATGACCTCTAAAAAGTGACCACATCAAAGTTTCATCAAGGATCATAATTACTGCAGTCTTATATTTACCTTTTTATATACATCTTTGCTACTATTATGTCCTGCTTGCTGACATTGCAGTCTTATATTTACCTTTTTATATACATCTTTGCTACTATTATGTAGTATTGCTGACACGTGCAACACAAAGTGCTAGACACAGTATCAGTACACCAGTGGAAATCCCCAGCTCTGCAGAAATCTCTATTTAAGCCCTATTCTGACATGGGCATATTTAAACTCCTGAGCCATTTCATCAACTTTACATAAATATTTAAAGACAACCTCGCATAAACATGTGCAAGATAACCTAAATGTATGCAAAGGGAAAGAAGCGAAAAGGGGATTAAAATGTGGAGTAACTTGTCAAAATCATGCAGCAAATTAGGAACTTTGGTTCTAACAAGGTTTCTGACATACTCCCCCTCTCACACTCCCCTCTGTGATAACCCACATCTCCCTTTTGCATTAGCACGTGATCATTTTCAGTAGCAAGGTTCATTTCGGTGAGGCTGGGCCCTGTCATGAAATGGTAACTTTGCAATTGTATTTAAGTAACTATAAGTGATTTCTACACATAAGTGCAACAATGTTACAACCTAAGGCAGTCTCCTTGAAACTACTCTGTGAGCACATACTCCTGAGCAGCAAGTGTCAGCAACACCAAGGAGTTTGAATAAAATAAAATTGCATTGCAAAGTGAGGCTGTGCTATGATCAAAGAGACAGCAGGAAACAGAATAATCCATTTCAAGGCTGCTGTAGTTCTGTGTTTTCAAACCTTGGTTCAGGAATTTCTCACAGAGTCAGCATTAAAACAATTCCGAAATCTCTCTTCAAGCTGAACTTTGCTCACTGTTAGCATCACACTCTTCCTGTCTAGGACAATGAAAGGTTAACAAATATGACATTCTAAAGATATGTAAAAACAGCCCCAAAATAATCTCACCAGGCTAACTGCTCCATTCTTACAAAGACACTTCCTCATTTCTCATCAATGTTGTTTTAAAAATTACCATGTTATCTCCAAGTATCCAAAGACTGGCTATTCTAACTGCTGTTGGGAGAGAGAGGAAAATTCCCTGTACACAACTCTAGCACGGGCCACAGCACCCCAAAAAAACATGCAGCAGTTAGTTTGCATCTAATTGTGTCCTCTAAAACAGGCCTTGCTGCACAAAATTGTCTTTCAAGACTGAGGAGGTCCTGTTTGCCTGAAACTAGGTCATTTGCAGAATTATTCACACAGGGAAGCCTCATAGGTTGCAACTGTCTTTTATAAAGTCACCCAGAACTGCTAAGCAAAGCAGCAAAACATAAGTCTCTCATGCTTAAAAGAGGGGTTTAAAATATTGTAATGGCCTCACCTTGTCAAAGGGTGATAACCCCTTGATTCTTGCTCGAAAATACCCAGCAGCCACCAACAGCTCCAAGATTTCAGTCAACTTGATGTTTTGTTCCTCATCTTCTCTTGTTTCAACCTGACAAACAAACAACAAAACACTAATTCAGTTTTTCTCATTCATTTGAAGAATGAGCATTTTCCGAGCCTTGGCACAGACCACATATCAGGGGAAACCTGCCTTCCATTAGCAACTTGGTTGTTAATTTGAAAGACATTAAAAAAACAGGCAACACACTTGTACATGGACTTAACATCACATATTTTCACCCAGTTAAATACTTTAATCTGCTTTTGCTGCTCAAACTCCTGGTCTACTGCTCGTCTCTAGCTACTAAGATTGTCCTATTGCCACAAGCCAGTTAATCTATTCTCCATTTCACACATTTCTTTCAATTTCAGGGTTCATAAACTCACACACCTCAATTTAACCTCTATCTCAGCCAAAACCAGGACACGCTTCTCTAATCCTTCTACAAAAACAGGAGGAGACACCCACACGGAATTCCACTTTTTGGGCAATGTAATTGCAAAGCACGGCAGTAACAAAAGTGAACTGTGACGGGCAGCCCCAGCGCTCCGAAGCCTGACCAGCACAGCCAGCCCGACCCGGGGCTTTTGTCCGCACCTTACAGGATGAAACCCCCCAGCTCCGGGGATACGCGTGATTTCCTAGAGGCACAGAGCTCCCCAGCACCTCGGCCCTAGGCCGGAGGGCCGGTAACAAGGCTCCAGGGACCCACCTGCACACCCTCCCCATCTCCAACCCTCTGGGCACCCACCCGCTCTCCGCTCCCTCCCACGGGAACGCGGCGAGCCGGGCTTGCAGCGGGGGCACGGGCAGGCGATGGTGCACCGAAGGTGACCCGCACAGCGCTGCCGGCAGCCCCACAGGCCTGCCCGCGTCCCCCGCGCCCGGCCCGCTGCGCGGCACCGACCCCCGCGCCGCCCGCGAGGGCCGGCAGCCAGGGGAAGGAGCAGGCGGGGATCCCGGGGACGCCGGTGCAGCGGGGCCGGAGGAACAGCGGCCGCGCCTCGGCAAGCGCCCGGGGGACGGGGGGCTGGGAGAGACGCGGCTCCGGTACCTCCTGCGGGGCCTGGCGCTCCTGTCCCCGCGGGACCCCCATCGCCCTCCGCCGCCGGCCGCGCCGCTGTCACGTCCGCTCCCCGCCGCCGCAGCGCCCCGGCGAAGGGGTGTTCCCGGCCGGCGGCTGCCGGGTTCCCCCGCCCCCGCTCAATGGTTCGCCCGCACCCTCCTTGCGTACAAGCGCATCCGGGCCGTGCCATTCGCGGCCGAGGGGTGCCGGGGAAGGAGGGCGGCGGCTCATGTGACTGACTGGCTGCGCGGAGCGCAACGGCCGCGGCCCCGCCCGCGGGCTGCGCCCTTGGGGGCGCCCCCGGGTGCCCCCGTGCCCGCGGCCCCTCAGAGCGCGGCTCCGCCCCGCGGGCCCGGGCGCTTCCCCTGCGCGGCGCTGCCCTGCGCCCGCCGCTCTTTTCTCCTTTTTTTCTCCTTTTGCAAGGGGTCCTGAGGCCTCTCGCCAGCATGGAGGATAAGTTACTGAGCGCTCTGACTGCGAGGCGCCTCATGGCCACTCATGCCCCACTGGGCGCTGACACTTCTCCTTGCCAGCCGTGGTTCCTTTGGTGACCTAAGAGCTGAAGTGGGGTTTAATTTTGTTTTTCCTCCCTTGCACACAGGTCACAGAATTGGAAAAGATCTCTGAGATTAGCAGGTCCAACATCAAGCACCACCATGTCAACTGGACCTTGGCATCAAGGGCCATTTCCAGACTTTCCTTGAACACTTCCAGGGACGGTGGCTCCAGCACTTCGTTAAGCAGTTCATTACAATATCTAATCACGCTTTCTGTGAAGAAATTTTTGCTAATACCCAACCTAATTTTTGCTAATACCCTCCCTGGCACAGCCTAAGATTACATCCTCCCATCCTGTTGCTGGTTGTCTGGGAGAAGAGCCCGGCCCCCCTGGCTGCACTCCTGCCAGGGAGCTGTGGAGTGACAAGGTCACCCCTGAGCCTCCCCCAGGCCAAACACCCCCAGTCCCTCAGCTGCTGCTCATCAGGTTTGTGCTACAGTTCCACAACAAGAAACCCCCATTATTATTATTATTAATAATAACAATAATAGCAGCAAGAAATCTGTGCTGGCTCTGGCTCATGCCACGTCATGGGGCCATGTCTGAGCATCCCCTGGTGGGAAGGTGGATGTGCTGGAGCCTGGCCTCCCACCCCAGCTTTGGCAGCACCAAAACACCATTCTCCTATTATAGATCAGGCAGAGCCTGCAGGGGGATGGGTGTGCTGGGGTCTGGGTGCTGTGCCCAGGCTGGTTGCCAGCACAGGTTGGATTTGTGAATAAAATCACACCGATGCACAGGGATTTGGTGAGCTGGACAGCTGGATAGAAAACCATGGCAGCATTTCATGGGTAGCATTCTTGTTGGCGATGGCTTAGGAAATACCTGGCAGGGGTGTCTTTTCAAGTCTGTCACAGGTGTTCTGTTTCCAGACTCTTCATCACACACAGAATATTAAACAAAAAAATAACCTTGCAGTCAGCTGTGTCTGGAAGCGCCTCAATAAGGTGAAGGAACAGGAGTGTAGCGTTCCCATCCTTTGGAGGGCAGCAGAGCATACATGAGCCAGTCCATTCTGACTGCTGCCCTGACAAAGTGATCATAATAATAATAATAATAATCATAGCAGCAGAAATACTAGGCCAGACCAGCTCAGGCCATGTACTGGTGTAACCACAGGCCACATCTTAATTAGAGCTGCGGAACACTGTTCCACAGCCCCAGAGGTTACTGTGGTCACCACAGCAATATGGGCTTTCTGTGTTTTGTCTGCCTTCTCCTCACAGAGAACTGTATGGCTCTAATTTGACTGGAGAGGAAGACTGAAGCCCTCAAAGAGCAGGGACAAAGAAAAGAGCTGAACAGGAGAGTGTTAGGAAGGGATGTAGATGACCTTCAGACACAGCAGCAAGTTCAGAAATCACAAAAATGATAAATAAAAAGCCAAAGATAGTATGAACTAGGGACATAAGTAGTAAATGACTATCGGACAAGGGAGGGAACTAACCCTGGGAAATGGAACTGTTTCTCTGGCTTTTTAAAGCACAGTAAGGCAAAGGAGGGAGACAGGGCTAATTAACTCCTATGAACTTTAAAACTCATGCAGCTGGCCTCCAAAATCACAAAGCTGGCTTGAAGTGATGTAGTTACAGAAATGTAATAGGTTCTTTGAATTTGCTGTATGTATGTGTACGAGACCACAAGAGCTGGAAATGTTTTTTGCCTTTATAAGCTGGAATTTTCCTCCTTTATAGGCTTCATCTGGTATGCATCTAGGAAAGAAAAGAGTAAGGCATGAAAATACAAAAATCTATGGTCATTACAAGTCATCTTGGATCACTTGAACCTCAATAAAATACTTTGCAAAAGCATTGCTTCCCAACATGTAATTGCGATGCAGATTCACTCAGTTACCCAGACAGAGCTGCCGTCCCCTATGACATTTGGATAATCAATCTTCTAAATACCAATTAGTTTTAAAAGGAGTCCCAAGAGGGGTACTATTGAAAAAAAGAATAACCTCCTTTTCTTCAGATTTTTTGATTTTGTGCTTGCAAATCTCGAGCAGTTTCAATTATAATCAATCTTCTAAATACCAATTAGTTTTAAAAGGAGTCCCAAGGGGGGTACTATTGAAAAAAAGAAAAACCTCCTTTTCTTCAGATTTTTTTGATTTTGTGCTTCCAAATCTTGAGCAGTTTCAATGTAGGCTTAGTTTTTCCTACTTTATTTTGGTCTGTGGAGGTAAGTGAGTTCTGGTTCTTGGTGCAGCTGCTTTCAGCAATCCTGTCTTGATTTTCCTATTTCATTAATCTTGATCCCACAAAGCTGGGCTAAAAAGCTTCCTCATTTTTTTATATAGCCATGCGATTCATTTTGCTGCTCAGCCTGGACTTGTGACAACATTAAACTCAGTCACCACTGAAAATGTAGCAGTAGATCTCACTGTATCTTTTAGCACGTATTTGTTTCTCCTTGTAATAAAAATAAAAGCATGAGATGGAGTCCTAACAGCAACAGCAAGGGCTCCACTGTTTGTAGAGCAGACACAGTTAGATAAACAAAGTAACGTAAGTAACTTTCCAATGTTCTCTATTCTGAGAAGGCCTAAAAGAGATTTATTTCCATTTTGCATGATAGATAAAATAAAGTATATATAACTTCCTGTGCAATGGTCCTTTGTACAGCATCTTCTTGTTAGGGTGCAACTTTTTTTAAGGATACCATAAAACAAAGTGTCACAGACAGATCTCAGAGTAAATGGAAAGGATCTCAGTGGTTGCATCAGGCGACCTCAGTACTGCCATGACTGCATCTTCCCAGTTGGATTCCTACTTACAGGAGAAGCTGAAGTCTCTTGTAGGGAACTAAGCTCAAGCCCTCCAAACTCAGTATCAGATTTTGCATTGTTTTCTGTGGCTCATATCTTGAGTGGGCTCTTTTTTCAACCCATTTGGTTGCCCCAGCACAGACATCACTTCTATCCTGATCCTTAATAATATGATTCCTGTGATAAGGGTTTTCATCCAGGCTTCTGGAATCAGCAGAACTGTTGGCTACAGCACAAGTATCTTCCTCTGCATGCATTTACTCTTTTAATTTGTCCTGGTTGTATCCCATCTCCTCACAGTTACTCAGCTCCCCTTCATCCTTCTCCTGGGATGTAGTAGGCATAGAGAACCATTCAATGGGCAATTGCAAATTCCCAATTATCGTCAGTGAAAGTGAGACTGTGCACTGTGAAATGAAAAAGTCACAGACCTGTTACAGTGGCCACTGTGTTAGGGGCTGCAGCAGGCCATTGCATCCCATCAGACCAACTGATATTCTTTGCAAGGTATTGTGCCCTTTCAGCACTCACACATAACAGGAAATAGTGCTGTTTTAAACATGCTCATGTTGTACCCATAGGTGACATTTAGAAGGTCCAGTCCAGCCAAGGTCCTCTTTAGTCCCTCCTCTGAACAATTCCTGTTTTCAGCACTTAATAGTTTATAACACAGGCAGACAAGAAGACATATTTTTCTTGAAAATTATGTTGGTGTCATTTTTAATATTGTTTTGTAAGATGGGCAATATGAACACAAACATTTTTAGCTCACTTACTTGGAAGAGGAAAGGCTTTGTGGCCTGTGGAATATGTAGAGGAGAAGATAATCTGATAGTGGAAATATTGAGATTCTAGTAAGAAATAAAATCACACCTCCCTCATGGTCTATATGACAGAACTTGATAGAATTGGTGGTCCTCTCTACAATTTCATCTGTGCCAGATCTAGAAGTCTGCCTGGAGAAAAATGAGAATATTATGATGAAGAATGTGATGAATATAAAGTTTTTGCCAGACTTCTCTTTCTGCAGTGTCATGATTTTGATCTCATGACTCAAAGTTATGTAGTCACAATATGCAAGTAGCCAATAATTTTGGGTATTTCAATTTTTGAGAGGCTGGATTTTCAGAGCTACTGTGCTCTCTTTGAAAACCAGGCTGCCGAGGAGTTTCTCAGTTTCTGTGTGGGTGCACACTGCAAAGTCCAGGCAAGGACAGGCACAGCACCCCTTGACACAGAGTAGTCACCCACAGAGAGGTTTGTTTGGGACAGTACCTTTGCACATCTTTCCTGAAAGTCTCAGGTCATCTGTAGCTGTTGTGCTCAAAATAAATTAATATCCAGGAGAATGAAGTGGGTCTTTCTAATTCACATATCATCCATGGAACAACTAATTAAATCTGATTCACTGAGCCTTGACCTGAGAACGAACAAACAAAATGAGAACCTATGCACTGTAAGTGCATCACAGACTCCTTGGTTTGGGCCAGGATATTAAATTTCAGATCACAGCTCTGTGAAGAAATGTTTTCCTTCATTTTTATATTGCGACTGAGCAAATCTGATATGGAATTGTTGGAAAACAAAATGCCCAGGAACTTATGCTATATTTATGAAAGGTAAAACTTCTCCAAACAGAATCACTAGTAAGATTCATTTGAAATTCAAAGAATAAGAGACTTCAGGTTGTTGGATTACCAATTTACAAATCCTTACAAAGGGGCAGAGAGGTGTGTATTTTCACTGTGACATTCTTAGGCAAAATATATGGATTTAGACTTTACCTTCTACACGCGATAATACTATGACACATCCTTCACTTAAAATAGTTGTAAGAATGAACAGTTAATTTCCCAATGGAGTGAGAGAGTCTGAAACAGTAACAGACTTCTCACAGGTACACTTCA